TGTATGTGTTCATTGATTAATATCCTACATTTTAAAATGTTTGCCGATTATTATTATTATTATTATTATTATTATACATTTTTAATAATGAATTTTTTTAGTTGCAATTGCACAAATATTGAACAAGAATTAGATATTAACAATAGTAATCTATACATAAAAAAAATCATTTTACATTCTATGGACTAAGACAAGGTTATTTCCTTATCTATTGAATTAAATGTTATTTTATAAGGATTCAAGTTGAATAGATAAAAGGATTGTCTTTATTTATTAAACCTTAAGAAATTCAAAGAAGATATACATTACACATTAACTAAATTAAATCCATAGTTCTAGTAATATCTAACAATAAATTATTCTAGAATACCCCTAAACAATCAAGATGATAGTATTTAAGAATTTAATTTAAATTTAAACTTAAATATTTATGAAGGATGTTATAAATTATTATATTTGCAATAAAGAGACTCATATTTTTAAAAGCATGATTATATCTATGGAGAATGGGAAATCATGGGTTCTACTGAAGAAATTAAAATAGAATTAATATGTAATATTATCATCTATTATTTATTCTTAGAAAATAAAAATAATAAACATAATCATTAAATTAGAATTCTTATGTACTCAATAAGTAAAACACCTAAACTTTAGAGAAAACGTTGAATTACTAAAATTATCATAATTTTGATATAAAATCAAATATACTTTATTTCGGCTCTACTTGTAACCAAACTTTATGTAGGCTTTTATGAGAATTTTCTATCTGTTTTGGAAATGAAATCACAATAAGAGTATCTTCTTAACTTCATAATACAATTAGAAATTTATTCAAAATTCTGTTAAATAGATAAATGTCTATCTTTTCGTTTAGATATTTATGGCTTTTCTTATATTTTTATATTTGGAAAATAAAGTTGCCTTAATTTTAATTATTTATTTTATTTTAGTTATTTTTAATATGGATGTTGTTCATCATTTAAAGATGATCCCTATAATTTTGTTCTTTTTTTAATAATAGTTTTGGGTATTACTGAGCTTATTTGTTCTATTATTTCTAAAGGTTAAAAACTAAAGATTGCACCTGTTTCAATAGTCTGTACAGCTTTATTTTTCATAGACTATAATAATTAATCATATTATTATACAAATAATAATATTAACAAGACATTATTTTATAAAGAATTTATTAGAATTTTTCCTTTCTATCAGTTTTGTTCAATAATAAAACCATATTTTTATATAAATATTAATTTCTTTGTTAAATTTTAACTTTATCCTGAGTCTATTTAAACTTTGATTTGGAAAATTAGAAAATCATACAATAATTTATATTTAAACATAAAAATTATGAGAATAAAATCATATCACTTCTCCTTATTTTTGCATACTTAAATTAATTAATTTAAGTAATCATCAAATAAATTATCAAACTAAATAAATCAAAATATTTACTAATTTCTTTTAATTAATTACAATTTTTTATTAATATATCACTTCATTTAATGCTCTAAGATATGTTTTAAAATACTATTAATTTTTTTAATAGCTTTTAAATTATCTGATATAATCAATATTCTAACTTTTTTCATGTACGATTAATGTTTTATCAAAATTCGAGAAGAGCAATTTAGCCTTTATAAATATATTAATAAATACTTTTTATCGATCTTCATTTCTTATATCTTTGCTGTTTATCTGAATTAATGTAGGAATTCTATAAACAAGAAAGGAAAACATAAAAGAACAATAATTAATAGGGTTATTCTAAATAGTAATTTTCTAGATATCTGTTAAATGCTAAAATAAAAATATCTTATCTTACTTCTAATTTAGCTAATTATAGTAGATTATATATATAATTATCTTTTAGAATTATTTCTTTTAGTCTTGTAAACTATTTTATTACTGAAAATTATTAATCAATAAGAGAATCGAAAAACATATATTAAAAGTGAATTTTTTCTATTATTTAATTAAAATTTTGTTTTGGAAGTACCATTCCTGCTGCAGTTCCATAAATAAATAAAAAAATATCCTAATTTTATAGTTAATTAATACATCTTCAACTTCAGCATGACCTCCTTCTAGAATTTGATATTCTAACTAATTTTTCGAATTTAATTTATTCTTTAATTCTAATTTTTAAATTTATTTGCTTTCTTCAATCCATTAATTTTTAATCAAAGATATTATTTCATCTTCTGTAACATTAGATTGCATAGAATTTTTATGACTCAATAAAAGATCTTTTGTTTGATTTTTAGAAGTATTAACTTCTTTTTTTGTTTATTAAATTTAATTTATTTCATCTTTATATTTAAAATCTTAACCTATTCCTTATATTTCTAATCCAATTTAATATAGTTTTTTAGGTTTTTAATTTTATTGTTGATTAATATTTTTTTTTTTTATTGGTTCTGTTCTTGGAAATTCTAAAAATAATATATCTTATTTAATTTAATCGATTGATTTTCCATCTAAAATTCGAAGTTATTCATAATTAGAACAAATATATTTATAATATTCCTATTTGTTATATGATATTGGATTATTTTCTAAAGATAATTCAAATAAATCAAAAATAAAAGGATATTAATTGATTTTATTTTAAGATAAAAATAATTTTTATAATTACGGGAGAACTAAAAATATATACTTTTTATATAAACCTTAAATATGATCTATGATTTCTATTTAATTGATTTTTAAATTTAATTCAATTAATGAAGTTAAATCTTCCAAACCTTCTAATTTAGAGATCAAATTATGTCCTAAATTCAATACTTTTAAGTTTTTCAACTTATTTAACCCTTCCAAATTGTTAATTTTATTACTATGTAAATCTAACACTTCTAACATTTATAAATAATCTAAATTTTGAATCTTTCGGATTTGATTTTTAGGTAATAATAATACTTTTAATTTTGAAACTTATTTTAATTCTTCAATCTCCTTTATTAAATTATCATATAAATCTAAATATAACAAATTTGGTAAAGAAACTAAATTTTAAATAATTCCAATTCTATTGTGTTGAAATGTTAATATTTTCAATTTTTCTTCACCTTCTAATAATGGTATATGTTATAAATCTAAAGAATCTAAACTTAATTTTTCTGGATTTATTTATCTCTCTAATGGTCTTCTATAACATACCCATATTCCTGGTATTTATTATAATTCAGAAAAGATTATATTTCCTCCATTTTCTATTTTTTTGATTGTACCATTTTTTATTAAATATCGATATCTAAATAAGTGAATAAATTTTTACCTTTCATCTTATTCTATTGATAGGATTTCTTGAAATTCTAGAGAATGCCCAAAAATTTCATTTTTAATCTTTTTTTTTTAAATCTCTGGTAATTAATTTGAAAAAGCTGCTTAATTTTATTAAGAGACCTTTTGAGTAATTTTTTTTGTAAATCCAGTAGAATAAGTTTGTATACTATCTGGTTATCTTAAATTTTTATTTGGAGACATAGATAATTTTGTCTTCATTAGGAAATTTGAATAGTTACATATGCATAACGAGAGTCTTTATTCATTAAATTTATAAATATCAATAATAATTTGAAAATTTAAAGGTAATCAATAATATTGTATAATTAATTAGATGAATAGTAGAATTACAAAATATAAATATATAGTATTACAATATAAATAATTTTTAAGGTTTTAGTTTATAAGTTTGATTTGTATAATATTTAATATTAAGAATTATAATAATATATATGGCTCAAGAAATATTTAATAAAAAATGGTTATAAACATTAGGATATTATTCATTAAGATTATACCCTTTCAAATTTGTATTAAATTATCAGAATGTGATGAATCATTACTAAAAATACCAAAAATAAGGAGATTATTTAATTGAATTTTTAAATATACCATATAGATTGAGTAATTAAGGTTTGTTAGGATAAGTGCTTACATAAGAGTTATAATAATATCGTCAATAAAGTTTACAGATGAAAATAAAGAAAATAAGAGCTATAAGTGTAATTTTATATTACTCAGGATCAGGAGATTATAGAGCACCTAAAATATTATAGAAAGCTCTTTAATATGATTTCATTGAGGATTATTTTGAAGAGTTTTATGGAGAGAAAAATAAAATAATTTTATAATTTTTATTTCGTACAATTCTTACATTAGGTTTATCATGCAAATTGTTGGAAAGAGTAGATCAAAAAATGGATTAAAATTTATTATTATTTATTTTAAACGAATTTCAATTGAGATAATTAAATGATTTTAATATAAGATTAACTAAAAAGGAAATCGATATGTTACTAGTGATAAAAGAAAAATGGAAAGATAATAAAAAAATAAATTGGGCTTTATATTAGTTAAATATAGATCAAGATTTAATGTGAGTATGACATATTTTTATTATTAATTTTATATTTTACTTCTGCAATTATAGATTGCAATGATTCAATTAACAATTCATTAATCTAAAAAATAATATTAAATATTTTAACTAATGGAAAGATCTTAGTAAGAGCATTAGGATTACAAATTTTAATTTATGATTCTACAGATGAATCTCTTTAAAGTAGAATAGCTGCATTAAAAACTTTATCATAGCATTCTAATAAGTTGTTTTTATTATTATTACATTTGCTTAATTTAATATAATTATTATATAATAAAGTATATAATAATAACAAATATATCTATATATCTATGTTAACAAAAATAATTAATATTATTCATTATTATTCATCATCATTAATCTTAGGAGCTAAATACAATTTTAACGAACCAATGTTATCAATTTAATATTCAATTACTAAAGGTTAATCTTATGACATAGATAAAATGACTTAATTTGATAATGCTGATGCTTTATTAAATAAATTGAAATATCTAATATTATATAATATATATATACCTAACAGCAAAACTTAAATTTACAGGTTCATCTACATCACATTCAACTCTTTCTTCTCTTTTTTCTTCATCATTTGATTTTACTGAAACTTATCCCTCTCCTATATCTCCTTTAACATAAAATTTAATTCCATCTTTTGAAGTCTCTATACCAATTGCTTCATTTATATTTCCTAACTCTCGACATATTTTTGTAAATTCATTTGATGGCATTTTTATTACTGACGAATAATCTGTATCTGGCACTCCTAATTATTCTTAATCTAAAGACATTAAATTCAATTAGAACTCACTTATTCGATCTAATTTAAATTTATATTTTATACTTTTCGATTCAAAAGTAAATGATAATGTTGTTGGTTCTTCTTCTTAAGTTCTTAATGTAATTTAATCATCATTTCCTGAACATTTTAATATTTTTTATAAATTCTCAATGCTTAAACCCATTGTTATAGATTTATCACATCTATATTTCTTGAATCCTTTCTCATTTAATTATAATGCCACTAATGCTACATGCGATGTATCCATAGCCTTTATTAATAATTATTTATTATTACTTATAATGATATTCCTGTTCCATTTGCTTCAAGATTTACATTTTTTACTAATTCTTTTATTGCTTCAACAATCTTTTTAAATTAAACACCATCTTCGAACTTTGCTTCGAACATTATCTTTTTAATTATTTAAATCAATTATAGAGGGAATTATTAAATATATTCTAGATTTGCCGGGTAATTTAATTTCTAATTACTTACTTATTTCTAAGTGCATCTAATTTTTATTATTATTACATTAAATTCCTTTTTTAACTTTATCAAATATATCATCCATAATAATACATCATTAATATTTTCATATTATTATTCAAATGATATCTTTGTTTAATTAAATATATACACTTTATAATCAACATCAATATAATCAAATATATTCTTTATTTTTTAATACGATAATAATCATAAAATTATTAGACTATAAAAAACTGATAATATTAAAATATTTTAATTGATAGCTATTAAAAATTAATGAAGTACTTAAATTCAAATTCAGGTTTTTTTTACACTGATTTCATGTAGAACTTATGATTTAATTATCATCTCTTTGTTGTAAATATTATTCTCACAAATTTACATGGAAAGGTAAATTTATGGGCAGATTGAAAAATTATAATTTATAAGTTTAGAAATAGGTTATAAATGTTAAAGTAATAATTGAGAATCAATTTTCATGACTTTCAATCGAACTACTCGATTTGAATTTTTAGTAAAATTTGTTTTTCTTTAATGAGAAAGAATCAAGAGATTCAGTTGAACTTGAATAATAGTTATTTTATTTCTTTTTGGGATCTGTACAAAATTAAACTTTTTGACCACGTAAATAATCTAGTATGGATTTTATTTAAGCATTTGGCTTATGATATATTTCCAATTCTAGAGAATCAAGACTTGTGTTTAAAGAATCTTGCATAATTATTTGTAAATATATTTATATATGAATAATATAAATCACAACCCCGATTAAACCAATTGAATTCTAATATTTCTAATTTTATTATATGCATCAATTATTACTAAAGTTCTTTCATTTCCTCTTAAATATCTTTATTAAATTCTACCTACTGGTATTATTACTACATTTCTTAAATAGTAATATTGACCACCTGTTTTTTCACAATGCTTAATCACCACTTTATCACCAACCTTACAAAAATTATCATAATCATGCGTTATGAATTCAAAAGAATTTGGAATATAAGATTTATATTTTTTATGCCAATATTTGTAGTTCGCTTTTACCTCATCACTTTTAATAAATCATTTTACTTTGAATGTCTTTTATCTACTATCTCTTGTTACAGTACCTAAATTTCTTATCCAGATGGTAATAAATTCTTTATTGTTTTCTATACACATATTCTTGTTGGATGGATTAAGGTCCAAACTGTTTACATCGTTTCGAATATATTATATTTATTTTTATTTAATTTTAAAATGTCTAATTATTCTTGCTAATTTTGCTACAAGAGAACAACTCTAGGATATATCAAAAACTATTTCCCTTGTGAAATCAATTTACATAAAATGATTAGACACACTTTATATCATAAATACGCAACTTCACAAAATTATTATTATACAAAAGACATAAATGAAATATTATCTAAAACTTCTAGTGCCAGAACTATTCTGTATAATGTAAAATATTCAAATCTATCATAAGGATAATATATGTTATGATGAAGAAGATGAATATATAAAAAGATTTTATGAAATGCACGAATACCCTTGCAAATCAAAATTGCTTACAGAATTCTATAAATTTCATAAAGATTTACCAAGATGGGTGTTAAAACATCCTATTCTAAAAATTCTTAATTATTATTACGATAAACGAAGAAAAATTGAATTTTACAAAATTTAAAGATAAATTGAAATTGAAAATTAGATGAACCCATCTGATCCACCTAAAGGAATAGTAGGTGATAAACCTTTACTTAGTGATTCTACACCTTAATCTGAAAACTCTGAACCATAATCTAAAGTTAATGTAGATAACATCTTAAAGGAAATAAGTTTTTCTAATAAGAAACCTTTACCCTCCTAAGAAATTAGTCATATTTTAAAAGTACCTGAATCACCTCCTTTAGGTGAAATATAATAAATGATTAATTTACTCAATCTTAAATCTGATTCTCCAAATTAAAAGCAATAATATTAATGGTTTAAAAAAAAGAAAACACAAAGTAAAAAATCTCTAAAATTGGATGAATTAGCCTTATCTTTATCTGCTAGAACTCATTAAAATCCTTAAGAAGCAAAAATGCCTTTATCAGCCAGATATTAATAATCCTATTCAAATAAATTAATTGATTAAAGTATTCTATATTAAAATATTTAGTCTAAGCTAAACTTTACAATAAACATTCATAAACCATTTCAAGAGACAAAATCTTAGATTTTAAATAAAATAAAGAATAATTCATGTAAGAAATATATTTTACCCTAATAGTAAAAAATTCAAATTAGAAGATAGAAATAAAAAAAGCAATTCTCCAAAAAAAGTTGATTAAAATAAAGCAATTCAAGAAATTAAATAACTTGAATTAAAAATAATAAAAAGTCTTTAAGAAATGAAGAATATTAAAAGTAATAATTTATCAAATCATGAATCAAAATAAGCTACATCTTAAAACTAAAACAATAATAATAATTAAATATTATCTTTGGATTAAAAAGCCTTATATTAAATATTGAAAATTCCTGATTCGTTTAGACAATTAAATTTTAATAAAGTTCAAAATAAGAATAATTCTAAAAAATCTCATGAATAGAATTAACGTTAATAAAAAAATAATAATTCATCTTAGAATTAGAAATAAGTATAAATATTAGATATGAAAAAATTAATATCAAATAAAAAAGATATTGCCCCAAAAACTGAAAGAGTAAAAAAGACAATTCCATCTCTAAACTTAAATCTTATTGGAGCTATAAATTAATCGACTTCAATGACAACAAGAAATAATAGCTTTACTCCAAGTCTAGCTTATGCACAATTATTAACACCAAAATAAAATTAAACAAATATATACAATGAAAATAACATTAATAATTGGCAACTATCAAATACTAATAATGTTGCAATTAGAGAAAATAATAATATATAAAAATGATTAAATAATTAGATACGTTTTAAAATTAGTTTATATATATTCGTAATTTAAAAAATGAGTTTGATCAATTAAAATATTTGCTATTATTTTCCTTTTCATCAATAGATATTGAATGATCTAATAAATAAATATATATAGATATACATTATCGATTAGCTGATTTATGTAATTTACTATTGCGATTTTACTTTTTTTCACTATTTGCAAAACTGAAATTGCTTTATCTTGAGTTGCATGTAAAACTTAAAGGTTAAGTTTAGCTTTTTTAATAGGAGAATAAATCTGTTTGCATTTAACCATATTAATTAGTGAAATTGTTAATAAATTCTTCATCATCTAGGATTCTGTTAAGAATTTATTCTTATAATAAACTTGGTTTAAGCTAAGAATTATTTTCTAAAATTTCTTAATTTTCTGTGAAACTAGTGTTTGGATAGGGTAATTAAACTTTAATAGGTTTTTGTATCAATTTCTTTTTGTTAACAGAATAAGATTAATTGGAACGATTAGATGTTTATTTAAGGATTGGTTGTTTAGTATTTATTGTGAAATTATCTGTGTGAAAAGAATCCTATCCTATAAATGAATCTTCAAGAGGAATATTTTATCTTGATGAACAAAATTTAGATTCAAATGGTTCAATCTTTATATTAGCTTTTTACAATTTCTATTTAAGATTAGCAACATAGTTATCTATTTTTAATATATATTGATTATCCTATTATATTAATTATTATAAATACTCTCTATTATATTCTTCTTAATTCTTGTAATTAATCAGCAACTAACTTAAATTCTTAATCTCTCTCAACTAATTATTTTTTTAATTTTGCTATCTCAAATCTTTACAAGGCTTCTTTTTGTTGCAATCTATGAATAATCTGAAAATAAAATAAATTTGATTACCTCTTTTAATTATTAAATACTCTCCTTTTACTAGCTGTTATTTCTCATTAAATTGTAATTTTATTAAAATATTTTATAAATCATTTTTTCTTTTTTTTTGATTTCAAAACATTAACATGTCGTGATTTTGGTGATTATGCATTATAATTGATTTCCATTTCACTCTCAATCTCTGGATCTAAAACCTAGATGTTCTAAATTATATTCTTACTAAACCGACAGGAACATTTGCAAACATAGATTTATTGTTACCAAAACAATAATAATACAATATTAAATTAGTTATTAAAATTGTAGAGAGAAGTTTATTATCCAAAATGAAATCAATAATTTGTATGAGCACATTTCCTAAAGGCACCAAAATATTCTAATATTAAAAAAATATGTTAATACATTTAAAAGTGCATCTAAAAATAACTCTAATGGAGAAGGATCTAAACCATTTGAAATTTCATTATATACATTATTTCCAATGTCAAAATTATTGATTAATCTTTAAAATGGGCTCAAATATTGATTCATCAAAGTATTTACATTTTCATTTCCTTTTCCTTTTTGTTTATGAGCATAACGAGCTGCTTTTTATTTTAAAGCCTTTATGAATTCTATTTAATTGATAAATGTAGCTTCAATTTAATCTTTTGATAGTAATGCACTTTCTAAATCATTTAAAATATCTTCTATTTTGCCTTAATATAAAATAATTGCACTAATAGATGCTCCTTTACCTTTAAAAATGAGATCAAAATGCAATTTATTATCATTCATTTGATAAATAGTCTTTCCATTTGTAGTAATGTTTTTTCCATCAAATTCAAATTCAAAAGCAAAATAGAGAGGAATATTAATTCCACCTGCTTCTTTGTATATATCAAATTGTTCTTTAATTAATTCATCTTCTAAGTAAATATCAAAAAAGCGTGCTGATCGTTATTCCTACTATATTATTATAAAATATGTTTATACTTCAATGAAACATAAAATTAAAGTGTAATTACCATTAAGTCTCATAGTAATAGAGTATTTAAAAAAATCTTAATCGCTAGACACTGTTCTAGATGTTTAGAATACATAATAATCTAAATATTAAAGTGGTATTAAATGATGATTTTAATCTGAGGTTACCTTTTAATAGAACATTTATTGTTGACCCCCTTTATAATTTTGATCATAACGATATAATATTTTTTATCTATCCTTATAATAATATTGATTGCCTGCATCAACTGCGTATTTAATTTTATTAGCATCTAAATATGAATTTACATATATAAAAAGCAAAAATAATAACATTATTTACATATTAATTCATTTAAATTATATCGTAAATTATTAATAACAATTTTAAACACTCTAATCTTGATTGTTAAATATTTAAACCAAGAAGTATATTAATGTGTTTTTACATAGTAAAAGTAGTTTTAAAATAATTATTTGTTTTGCAGTAAGAATTTCAAGATGGAAAATATTTATTAATATAAAATTATATGATAAATTAAATGGAATCAAAATCGATGACAATCAGTACTAAAATATAATAGTCAAATTATTCTGCATTATCTAATCTACCTAGACATATTATTAATTAAATAAAAAATGAAGGTATTCTTACAATCCTATTAAAGGTGAATTATATATTGCTGCACCTCAAAAATGTTCAAGAATTTGGATAGAAATGAGAAAAAATGATTTTGTAACTGATGCTTAATTAAACTATACTATCGTGCAAAGAATATTTGAAGCTTGTAGAAGTGAAATAGTATAATTGTTGAAACTGTAGAATGAAAAGGATTTCTTTGAGCTTTTTGATTAAGATAATGATGGGTAAATATTAAATGAATTCCTTTAGAATTTTAAATGAAGATGAATAGATTTTAGTCTTTTCGGTTATAAAAGAAAAAATGCATTAAGTAGCAACTGCTTTATTGAAAATTTAAGAATACATATTATTCAAATAACTAATGAAAGAATTAAGAACTTTAGAATCATATATAGCAGATTATCAAAATCAATTAAGATAACGTATATCAATAAAAGAAAGAAAAGTTTATAAAGAAATAGGATAAGAAAAATTGGATGATTTTTATGATAAATACTATTAAGAATTTCATTAATTAACTAAATATAAGGTAGATAGAAGGTATACAGATATTATTAATTAAGAGCATAATTAAAAGTATCTTAAGAAAAAGAATTAGGAATATTAGAGGATAGACTTTCTAAAGATACAGAATTAATGAAAGTCAAACCTAAAAAAAAGTTAAAGGATTTGCAGACATAAGAGAAATTGGTTAGTTTAGAAGAAAGAGTTGAGGAAGCATTAGATTTTAGAAAAGAATTAAAAGATCTAGAAAAACATGAATAAGAGAGGGTATATAAGGTATAAAAATATCGAATTGAAAAATAACATAGTGATTTGTTATTTAAATAGTAGAAAGAGAGAGAATAATTAGAAGGAAAACTATAAGAAACTGAATATAAATTAATCATACAAATGAAGAAAGATTATGATGTTCTTTTAAAATAAATCAATCTCCATAATAATGAAATTACAAGAATTTAAAATTTAGCTTCAAATTAAGCTATGAAGAAAGGATTATATGAAGGAGAAGCTAAAAGATAGAAAGTTTAATCATAATTATAAAATACTATTATTGCTTAAACCAAAGCTATAAGTTAACCAGAATCTAAAATAAATGATTTAGATTAATTTCATGAATCAGAAACCCTTAGAAAATTAGAATCTAGAAAAAGTCTTTAGTTTATTGGTTCTCCTGGTAAAGTAAATAAAATCTAATATCTAAGCCTATATATTCAGAGGAAAGTGAAAAAAGTCCTATGGGTGCAGCTTTTAATGGAAAAAATAAGAACTTTTATTAAATTAGAAAAATTATCAAAGATTCTAAAAACATTACTTAATTTTATATTAAGAAGAATTATGGTTCTGTATTTCATTATATTATATTCATATAGGATTTACCAGTTAATTTTGTTAGAAGTGCACATAATATTTAAGGTGATTAACATGAAAAGATTGAGAGATTCTTATCTGTTAAACGAAAATCTTAACATGAACTCTTACCTCCTATTACTTAATTGTACGATGATGACATGCAAGAAAAAGTATTTTATTTCAGAAATTATATAATAGTAAATAAAAGCTATAACATAAACTGATTAAGAAATTAAAAGAGAAAAAGCATTAAAAAGAGCATTTATAAATGAAAAATTATTTAGAAATGATTGAGTTAAAGAATTTTATTTCCAAATTTCTATTTTAATTGCTGTTATTTTATAGATTTAAATATTTTTCAATAGTTATATAATTATTTTCAATAAAATCTGAAATATTAATATTTTTCAAAATAACAATTTTAGTAAGCAACTCTAAAAAAAAGATGTTTTGAATTTAAGTTTTTCAACTGATATTCATTTGAAAAAGGCATTTGAATTTTAATATTAATACTTGATATCAAATGAGAAAAAAAAATAAATCATATTCCATCTTACTAAATTTAACATCATAAAACTGCATCTGAACTATAAAAGGTTTAAACATAGCCCTATTATATTTTATTTTGATGTATTAAAAAATCTATTTATAATAATAAATATTCTTAATAACAAAATTTAGGTGTAATTTTGCGAATGATTTCATTAAGGTTAGTTTTAAAGTAGAAGAAATCGGGTTTTATTTATATTCTTAAAAAAATTGATACATTTTATTTGTTTATATATGTTATAAAAGGTAAAATAAATCTGTATGTTATAATTAAATTTAAAATGATGACTAAAAGTAAAATCAACTGATTATTATTTTATTTATCTATGTTAAATTTTCATTGAATTTAATCAAAATAATTATTAAAAAGGATAAGAAAGATTTTTTTACTTGATCAAACAAATTGAACAATATAGAGAGGTAGAAAAAAACTAGGAATTTCAAGAATTTCTGATATTTTTGATTTAAATGATTATTAAATTAAACTAATTATTGTTAAAATGATTATTAAATTAATAAATATTAGTGGATAAGTATGAAATTCAACATTCTAAATTCTAATTCTTTGTTGAAGAAATAAAAAAGTTTTAACTGAATTAATTTTTGAAGAAGATGAGAATCATGAAATAATTGTAAATTGATAGACTTAGAGCTAAGAATAACTCTATATTAAATATATCATATATTTATTAATTGTTTTAATCATAGTTAAATGGGCTGCTGTTCTTTTAAATTATATGCAGATGAGAAAGGTAATATTAAAAGTAAAATAAGCTATTATATATAATGAAAATGAAATAGATGAAGTTTAGGAAGGACTGGAATCTGAAAATGAGGAGATAATAGGAAATTCTAAAATAATAATTCATGATAAAGAAACTAGTTTTATAAAATCAAATTCATCATCAAAAGGATAGGGAAATTCAAGAGAATTTGAATAATAGTAAGTTTAAGTTAAGGATAAGGAAGGAGAATCAGTAGAATTTGTAAAAAAAACTATTAGTGGAACTATGAAATTGACTCCTGAAATGTTAGTGAGAAAGCAANTAAAAAAAAGATGTTTTGAATTTAAGTTTTTCAACTGATATTCATTTGAAAAAGGCATTTGAATTTTAATATTAATACTTGATATCAAATGAGAAAAAAAAATAAATCATATTCCATCTTACTAAATTTAACATCATAAAACTGCATCTGAACTATAAAAGGTTTAAACATAGCCCTATTATATTTTATTTTGATGTATTAAAAAATCTATTTATAATAATAAATATTCTTAATAACAAAATTTAGGTGTAATTTTGCGAATGATTTCATTAAGGTTAGTTTTAAAGTAGAAGAAATCGGGTTTTATTTATATTCTTAAAAAAATTGATACATTTTATTTGTTTATATATGTTATAAAAGGTAAAATAAATCTGTATGTTATAATTAAATTTAAAATGATGACTAAAAGTAAAATCAACTGATTATTATTTTATTTATCTATGTTAAATTTTCATTGAATTTAATCAAAATAATTATTAAAAAGGATAAGAAAGATTTTTTTACTTGATCAAACAAATTGAACAATATAGAGAGGTAGAAAAAAACTAGGAATTTCAAGAATTTCTGATATTTTTGATTTAAATGATTATTAAATTAAACTAATTATTGTTAAAATGATTATTAAATTAATAAATATTAGTGGATAAGTATGAAATTCAACATTCTAAATTCTAATTCTTTGTTGAAGAAATAAAAAAGTTTTAACTGAATTAATTTTTGAAGAAGATGAGAATCATGAAATAATTGTAAATTGATAGACTTAGAGCTAAGAATAACTCTATATTAAATATATCATATATTTATTAATTGTTTTAATCATAGTTAAATGGGCTGCTGTTCTTTTAAATTATATGCAGATGAGAAAGGTAATATTAAAAGTAAAATAAGCTATTATATATAATGAAAATGAAATAGATGAAGTTTAGGAAGGACTGGAATCTGAAAATGAGGAGATAATAGGAAATTCTAAAATAATAATTCATGATAAAGAAACTAGTTTTATAAAATCAAATTCATCATCAAAAGGATAGGGAAATTCAAGAGAATTTGAATAATAGTAAGTTTAAGTTAAGGATAAGGAAGGAGAATCAGTAGAATTTGTAAAAAAAACTATTAGTGGAACTATGAAATTGACTCCTGAAATGTTAGTGAGAAAGCAATGTATAACAGAGAAGTTTTTAGCTCATTACGAAATAGTAAAAAAAATAGGTTAAGGGGGATTTGGAGAAGTATATTTGGTAAAACACTTGTCAACAGAAAATTTAAGGGCAGCAAAAGTAGTTTTAAGAAAAACAATAAATTGTGAAGAGAAATTATTAGAAGAAACAGAAATTTTAAAAACATTGGATCATCCCAATATAGTTAAGGTTTTAGAAATATTTGCTGATTTTAAATATTATTATATAGTAACTGAATATTGTTAAGGGGGAGAATTATTGGAAAGAATAAAAACAATAACAAATTACAATGAGAATTTAGCTGCAAAATATATGAAATAAATATTTTCTGCAATATAATATTGTCATTAGAAAAATATAGTGCATAGAGATTTGAAAGTATGGTTATTAATATATATATAGCCTGAAAATATTTTATTTGATTCAAGAGATCCTGATGGAAACTTGAAGGTAATAGATTTTGGAGCAAGTGAAAAGATGATAGATTCATCATTTTTAACTAAAAAGATAGGAACTCCATATTATGTAGCACCAGAAGTATTATCAGATTAAGGATATGATGAAAAAGTAGATATATGGTCTTGTGGAGTTATTTTATATATTCTTTTAATAGGAAGACCTCCATTTAAAGGAGGAAATGATATGGAAACTTTAAGATTAGCAAGATAAGGAAAATTAAATACTAATAGTGAAAGATGGTTAAGAACAAATGAATAAGCTAAAGATTTAATTATGAAAATGATAGTAGTTGATCCTAAAAAAAGAATTAGTATGTAGGAAGCTTTTAATCATCCTTGGATTCAAAATATTTAATAAAATGAAATTGAAGATATCAGTTTAATTAAAAATTTAAGTCAATTTTCTGCTTAAAATAAATTAAGAGCTGCAATAATTTAATTCATTTCTGTATAATTAGTTAAAAAGGAAGAAAGTGAAAAATTATTTATAACATTTAAAACATTAGATTAAAATGGGGATGGAGTTTTATCTAAAGATGAATTATTAAAAGGAATGTTGAGTGCAGATATTGATCATTTAAAAGCAGAAACTATGGCAAATGGATTAATGTAAAAATTAGATGTAAATGAATCTGGAAAAGTAGATTTTACAGAATTCATTTCTGCAGCATTACTTTAATAATAAAAAATTACTATCAATAATGTTAAATTAGCATTTAGAATGTTTGATATAGATGGAAATGGTGTTATTAGTAAATAAGAATTAGAAAGCATTTTTGGTGGCATAGAAATAGATAATTAAGCTTGGGATGATATACTATAAAAATGTGATCGAAATTAGGATGGTGTTATCGAAGAAGAAGAATTTGTTAAACTTTTAGAAAACATTTAATTATGAATTCGTTATTTATATAATATTTTCTATTTGATTATAAATACAAAACTTCTTATTCTATTTAAAAATTACATAATTACCTATTCTATTTATAAATAATATAGTTAGCTATTCTATTTATAAATAATATAATTACCTATTCTATTTAATTATAAATTATATATATTTACTAGCCTTAATTTCAATATTTAATTAATTTATCATGTATAGAAATTTTGGTTAATCCTATCAAGCTATGAATATTATTCATGAAGAAAATGGTAATTAATTATGGTTAGGTGATTACACTGCTGCTTAAGATAAACTTACACTTGATAAAAAAGGAATTAGAACTGTCTTAACAGTTGCATCTTAACTTAATATCAAATATAATGATTAGAATATCAATCATAAAGTATTTTATATTCAATATATTAGACATATTCAATACTTGATTCAGAATAAGCAAATGTGGCTTAATTTTTTGATGACTCTTTTTATCTTATCAAAAATGGATTGAAATCTGGATCTGTTCTAGTACATTGTGCAGCTGGAGTTTCTAGATCAGCATCAATTGTTATAGCATATCTAATGAGAAATAAAGATTTAACATATTCTGAAGCTTTCTCTTATGTTAAGAGTAAAAGATTTGTCATTTGTCCAAATAGTGGTTTTTAACGATAATTGAAAAATTTTGAGAAATTATTAAAACAACCGAAAGATAATCTAAAATTATCTGCCTAATTAGACTCAGAAGATAATCAAAATTGTATTATTCAAAAAATCCCTGGTACTCAAATTGATATAAAAAAATCTGAACCCCCTATTAAAATTGCAAACGAAAAAAAATCTGATAATCTTGTTCAAAATGAACTCACATAAACTATTAGAAATAATGATTTATTCGCTAATAAAAATGATTAGAAATTAGAAACCAAATCCAATTTTAAAGTATAAAATAATTATAGAAATTGTATGCTCACTTCCAAATTTAATAATACAAAGACAAATATCCAATAACATAAGATCAATTTATAAAATATGCAAACATCCTATAATTCATCTTATGCTGGCCCATAAATTGTTACACATGCTTAAAATAAGTTATTTGATAAATAACCTTTATCTATTCTTCCTGGCATTTCAGCTAAGTCTAATTTGATTAATTATACTATGAATAATAGAAGAAACTTATGAAATTTGAACATTTTGTAAATAGTTATTCTATTCTAACTGATATTGAAATTTTTATTTAACTTTTTTTAATTAAAAAATTTGAATAATTCAATGAGAAGTTCAAGTTCTAACTATTCACTTTAAAGAGATTTCTAAAAATTTGAATCCAGATTAGAAAGTAGTGATTTGAGAAATAGAAGTGGAATAAGAGATAAAAAACAAGATATTGGATATACAAGAATCGATAATAAAGAAAATTATTAAATTTAAACAGGAAAGAATCAATTATTTTCATATGGAGCTAAATACTAGCATAAACTCCAGATGTAAAAATCGAAAGTAGAAATTCCTGTAGTTGAAGTTAAAAGAGTGGATGATAAAAAAAAGTTGAGTGTAATTTTCAAATTTTATGCATCCTTTGGAGACAGAACAAATATTGATTACATTCGATCAAATAAAATACATAAATTGATGTCAGATTCATAAATAAAACTTTAAAGATAAGATTAATAATAAATTGATTTACTTTTTGTTAAAGCCAATAGAAATAAACCTAATATGGATTTTGAGAACTTTTATTACTTTTTAGAGTTACTTTCTGAAAATTTATATGGAGAAAACTCTTTTTAAGTTTTAATGGATGATCACTTAACTCCATTATATGAAAATATAATCTCTTCAACTGATTTAGGAGATGAGGAGACAAAACTATCTTAAGAAATTGATGCAGTGTGTGTAAAATTAATTTAGGTAGTAATTTAACCAATTACTTTTATTTATAATAAGTATTTTCCACCTCAATTTAAGAACTTTAATTTGAAAGATTAATAAGAAGAATTGATGTTGAAACAATAGATTAGATCTTCTTTATTTTTATTTTTAAAAGAATTTGAAATATGTCCTTAATTTATAACAAAAGGATCTGCATATTTACTTTTAGATTATATTTAGGCTGATCAAAATTTACCTTAAATTTGTTAATAAAAAAAGTAAAAATCAAAATTTGATTTAAACTAATTTTGTTGTTATATAATAAAATTAGCCATGATGACTCTTTAAAGCTTTGATGATTCTACTTAAGAATAATAGATTATAACCCCATTATAAAAATTAGCATTTTTATTTGAAAGAATGGAGTTGAGTTAAGGTTTTAATAATTTAGAAATACCATCAAACAATTCTAAAATGAATTGGAAATTAAAAGTACCTGAAGAACTTATAGAATTAGTAATTAGTGATCCAGATGCAATTTAATATTTAAACTCTACTACATAGAGAATGAAGATTAATTAATTAAAAAATGAAGAATTCTATGATGAGTAGGTGAAAAGAATTAATACAGTGCCTACAAATAGAATTCGACCATCAATCTAAATTAATAAATAATTTGAAGAATAATGTTAATAGTTATTTTAAGAAAATTATACATAATTGTTTAATATATATAGATAATATTCTGGAATAAGCCAATCAACAGGACAAGATAATGAATTAGTAGGTAGTAAATGGATGAAATTCTTAAAAGATGCTAATTTAGTAAATTTTAATCTTGTTGAGAAAAATAGTAAATTATCATACTAGATACCTCATAATGAGATAGATCTAATATTTGCAAAAGCATGCACCATATGTTAAAACCATAGAACATCAGTTCCAATGAAATAAAAGAAATAAACAATGAATTTTATTTAATTTTTAAAAGGGATATAGTTATTGACAAATGATATACATGTGTTAAAAACAATTTTGAATAATCATGTATTGCATTTAATGAGTTAAGGACCAGAAAATAAAATGAAAGATCTCCTATCTCAATTAATGAATTTGTTAAAGGATAGAGAGATAGTTGAATTTCTGGGATTGTTACATAAATCCATTTTAGTATATTATAGGTAATACACAATTGGTAAATAAGTTATGAATTTTGAACAGTTCTAAAGATTTTATAAAGTAAATATAATTTGATATAAATAATTAGGATTTTTCAATTTTTCCTGATTTATTAACAAAAAATAAAATAGTTTAAATATTTTAGATATTGTCAAAATTATATGAGAATCAAGAAAATTAAAACATTAAGGGTGGATTAATTGATTAACACATGTTTGTTGAATCGCTTGCACTATCAGCTTTAGAGATTTCATATAATGATGATGAAAATTTAAGTTAGTTAGAAAAGGTAAATAATTTAAGAAATTTAAATGATAGATTTATTTTTTGATTGAGAGATTAAATTAATCAGATGGTCCTAGAATTGTTCAGAAGTAATTAGGACATACAACGTAAGAAATTAAATATTTAAAAAATATAGTTGTCCTTCTGGTTAAGACTGGGATTTATTGTATCATATAAAAAAGAGATTTTCATGGTTAATTTAATAGCAAGAATAAGTTTCTTACGAATAATGACTTCATATTATTATTTTTATATTTCAAAGTTTAATCATAAAAAATGCAATCGTTACTATCATTAATGAGTAAACTGTCATCTATAAGTTCTCATGAAGTTTTAGACAGCGAATAAGAAATTTCTAAAAAAGCATTTGTACCATCATTGAGAACTCCTTTTGAAAATGATAAACTAAAGTAAAGAAAAGATGAAGAATTAGATTATGTATAAAAATAACAAATAAAAAAGACTCCATTAAAAATAAATTTGAGTAATTAATTGCTAACTTGTACTTCATTTGCATTGGATACATTATCAGAATTATTATTAGATTTAGATTTATCAAATAACTTATTGCATTAATTTCCTAATTAATTGAAGTATAAATTTCTATTAATTTACATCAGGAAATTTACAAGCCTTAAGATTCTGAATTTGAGTAATAATTAAATCCAATAAATACCAATAAAATTTTCGCTTCCAAATTTAGAAAAATTAATATTGTCTGATAATTAGATAAGTATTATTATTAACTAATAATATAGAATAATTGCCATCTTGTTTATTTAAGTTAAATACTTTAAGAGAGTTGAATTTAAATAATAATATAATAGAGTATATACCATCAGAATTATTTGATTTATAGTTGACTTTTCTTGGTTTAAGATCAAATGTTTTTACAACTATTCCAGCTAGATTTAATGATATTTTAGAATCATTATAATGTTTTGACATTGATTGGTTTGATTATTGTGCAATAAATTGTGCATTTGATAATCAAATAAAATAAAAGCTAATTTTATTGGGTTAAAGAGTAGTATAGAGACAAGAAGTTATAACATTTTCTTTATTTTATTATTATATGGTTGGAAAAGTGTTTGATATTTAGTAATTCATTTAAAAGTATTAAATATAATAATATTAGTGGTAAGAATATTTTATTTACTTTTATACAAAGAGATTCCATAGGATTATTAAAGTAATTTAGCTAAAAATATCCAGAATTAATAATGATGAAAGATGAGGAAGATAATTCTCCACTTCTTTATGCATTTAATTTACATAGAACAAAATGTATTTAGTATTTGTTGCCTGTTTTTAAAAAGAATAAAATAGAATTGCAAATTTTATTTATGTTATCAGCAAAACGATTAGACATTTAATTAATGAAGATCCTAATGCAAAATGGGATAGAATTAAATTATAAAATAGAGAAAGATATAATTGGTCCTAATAAAATACTAGTTACTAATGGATCAACTGTTATGCATGTAGCAATGACATCTTTTGGCAGAAATCCATAACAATAATAATAAGCATCAACAATGGTCAAAGTAGTTTAAAACTTAAAGAATAGCTTCTATTAGACATGGGATGCGATCCAAACATTAGAAACCATATGAAATTAACTAGTTTACATGTTGCTGTAAAATTACCATCTTTAGCTGCAGTACGATTTGCTAGTAATTGCACATAATTCGATTTCCATAAAAGGGATCTTTATAAAAATACACCTCTTCATAGTGCAGCATCAATGGGTTTAGTCACTATTTTGTAATTGATTTAAACAAAGAATATTAATCCATTTTCTTTAAATCTTAATAATAAAACAGCTAAACAAGTTTCAATATCCTCATTATAAGTAATTAAAATTTAAAGGAAATATGAAAATTAATATTTAAGAAGAAAGTTATTAATTGAAAATGAAGCTCATCGAACTTGTTAAAAGAATGAGAATTTGACTAGTCTAAATAGTTATTAAACAATTATTTAGAATCATTAAGTAAGTGAAATTAAAAGTTAAATACAATCACCATAATCTCAATAATAATAAAGAAAGATTTTCAGATTGAATTTAACTTAAGTAAAATTAATGGAATAAAATGGTTTACTCTCTAATCGATAATAATAATAATCATCCTAAAGATCTTTGGCACCAAAAATCTAGGAAATATTATCTAATATATCTTAAATTATGAGAAAATATTAACATAGTAATAATGTTATTTAAGAAATGAAAAATTTATATTATTGCACCGAAGTGCTATAAGAAAAGTTAATAATTGCAATATTCGTAAATTTAATCATAATGAAATTAAAGTATGGTTGGAAATATTTGTCTAGTATTGGTACATCTACAATATCAGTATTAAATCAAACAAAATTAGTATATTAAAAACCATTAAGTGCTAATGAATATTTTATATATTAGAATCAAGTATTTATTTAAAAATACAAATAAAATTGTTTATCTATGTAAAAGATAGAAGACATATCTAATGCAGATTTTAAGAATCAAAAAAATTAATTATCTTTAAATTTGAAATATAATCTTTTTAATAATTGGGAAGAAACAATAAATTAATAAGAGTAATTTTATTAAAATTGTATGGGAGATACTTAATGGATGATTAGTATAAAAGGGTTAAAGATTTAAAATAATATCAAATCAGAAAATAATAATCGTATGTTATTATATTAATACGAGTAATTTTAAAATAATTCAGCAGCTTAAACATAATTCATTCGAGTTGTTTAAAGACAAATGGATTATTATAAAGAACAAAAAGTTGATAATTCAGAATCAGCTGGTAGTTTAAGTGATAGAATGAATTAATATAATAAAACTCCATTAATAAATAAGAAAGTAAATCAATTTTAAAATTAAAAATAAAATAAGATGGAATTATTATATAGAAATGTCAGTTAGACAGCAAGAAGAGTATCTCCTTAAGTTTAATAACATCTTGGAGAAAAGGCACAGACCTTTCGAAAAGATTCTGCTATAATAAATTCAATAGATTTTACTTTAGATAATTTGTGATTGAATAAAAATAAATTAAAAGAACAAATAGTTATATTTAAATAATTTATTTTATTTTATTTTTTTTGTATATAATAATAACTCATTTTTGAGGTTCATCTTTAATCAATATTAGACCATCTTCAATATAGGTTTAGAGTTCTTAACTGTCTTCAAACATATTCAAAATGTCACCAATTTCAAATTATGATGGATCAATAAGCATACCTAGAGAATAAGATGAAGGGAATTACCAACAACTTTTTTGGTTGACTCTTTATCTTTAACAACATCGAAGACTTTTTGGAATAAAAGATTACCAAGTACATTTCTTTAATCTTCAACAGGAATTTTGAGAAATTCTTCCATTCTATTTTAGACAAGAGTATAATCAGAAAATTCTTAAATGTATGGTTAAGGTTTTGGAGGTTCTTCTAGACGTTTAGGCATAGGAATTGGTATAGGTATAGGCATATGACGATCTCCAGGGATTGGATAACGACGAGATCCCGGATTTTAATTTGGGAAAGGACGAGGTCTTGGTGGTCCAGGTGGAAATGGATTTGGAGGAATTATTCTAAATGGACCAATAAAAGGTGGTTAAAGCAATTATCTACCTCCTGGATTTTAGAAAATGCTTTAACTTTATTTTTTAACTTCTTTAAATTCTTTTCTCATTGTTTTTGACAATAAGATATTCATCATAACATGACCATCTTTAAATATTTCTTTCTTTTTTTTAGAAATTTCTTCATTATTTTCATCATATATTTCTGATCTTACTCTCTTTGAATCTTCCAATGTTTAATAATGAACAAAGCATTATTATACTTAAAATTTTGGATTTTTAGTTTTTCTTATTGTTAAACGAATAACTTTTCCAAATCTTGATAAGAAATTCTGAATTTCTTCTTTTGTAACATCATCTCTAATATTTTAAATAAGAATTAATCTATCATCTGGATTCAAATGTTTACTATATACCATATTATAAAAAAAGTTTTCACTTTCTCCTTTAAAAGTGTCATTATGATCTTAAGCCATTTCTTTAAATGCTTAAGTAATTTCAGCAATAGTAAATGCTTCACTAGCATCACTATTAACAGGTGATCCATATTTATTAATTAATTCTAATGCATGATGTGCACCTGAATTAATACATGGATGTTTTCTTTATTATTCACAAATATCTAAATTATATTTAGCTTATTCTGAGGTTTCAAATTATATCATTGTCCAAGGTTATCTTGTATGTTAATCAATTTTAACAAAGCAATCTTTAACTTAATCGCCTTATCTTGATAAATATTCTTTTATTATTAAAGACCAAGCATATTCTATTGCTCTTACTACCTTATCTTATTCCCAATATTTCTATTATAATGGCTTAGCAAAGGCTCTTAAATAAATTGAACTTGATTCAACTTTTCTCTCTGATTATGCTCTGAATTATTCCAATTTTAATTATTTTCCTTTATGATAAATTGGATGATTTCCAATTCTCTTTATTAAGATATCAACATCTTCTTTCTTCTCAAATTGGACGTATCCATAACTATAAATTATTTATTTTATTATTTACTTTAATTACTTTCCCTAAATATCTCTATGAATATCAACAGATAACACAGTACCAAATTTTGAAAATTCTTATTCTAATTCCAAAATATCTGCATCTTCTGGAAGATTGTTAATAAAGATGTTCGCTTTTTTATCAGCATTATGATAATTAAAGTATGGTTTAACTCTGATTATGTTTCTTATGAAAATTTAATTATTAAATTTCTTTCTTGCTTCTTCAGCAGAGTCTGGATGAGCAAAAGTTATGAATGCTTGACCTTTTGATTTCTATGTGGTCTTGTCTTTTGTAATCTTTAAACTTTAGATTTCACCTACTTCCTTAAATTTACGATATAAATAGTCCTCTGAGATACCCTAATTTATTTTACTAAAAACATTCTTACCTGATCTAAATTTTCTATGAAGATGATTGTCTTCATTTATTAGGGTGTGGCTTGAGAAGGTAATTATTGAATTTCTTTTTACTGCATATTTTGATTTTTAAATAAATATTTTATTTAAGATTTAAATTAAGTTTGCATTTTAATTACAATTATATAATTATTTGCTTTCTATCAATAATGACATTTTTATTAAAATGATATATTAATATAATTAGCTTTCTACTAATAAAAACTCAATATTCTAATAAACTTATTTACCATTAATTAAGCATATCAATATAAGAGTTTTATGACTTTCTATTTTAACAAATTTAATAATCAAAGAAATATCATAAAATTAAACAATCGCTCAAAAATTTATTACGAAATGTTTTTTTAATTTAAATGATTTTTAACCTAACAAAATTATGGTCTTTAAAATATTTTTATAAATAATCAAAATCGTTTTAAAGTGACTATTATTAAATATAAATATAATATGAAGTAAAAGAATAATTATTGATCGTAAATTTTAAAAATAATTCTTTTATTTAAATAATTTATTCTCTAACTTTCAATAAAATTATGTCAAAAAAGATTTGAGTCAAAGAAAGAAAGTTTAAAGCTCAAAATAGAAAATAGGTTGATTTAATAATAATATCTATTATAATTGTTATTATAATATTTCATAAAATAATAACAATTATATAATATTTAGGTAAAAAAATAGATATATAAAATGAAAATTGTAATATTAATTAAAATTTTTGAAAATATGGTTAGTCTATTTATTACTTAGAGTTGAATAGAGGTTTGATAATCAGAAATTATAGGTTGTATTAAACAAGTTCAAGTTCAAACTTAGTAATTAGAATTTAAGAGATAAGATGTCATTCTAAACTACTTTGAGAATCTAAGAAAAATAATTCATCATAAATAATATTCTAAATCAAAATTTTATTTATTTAAAATTTTTCTAATTATTTTTAGTAAAAAATCTTTGGAATTTATAAATTGAATCTTACTTATAATTGATGATTAATATCATGAGTTAAATTATATAATCTATTTTTGATTAGGAGAAATAGTTCATTAAAGGGTTTAATATAAATAAAGTTAAATTAAAAATTAATTATTATTTTAATTATCGATTTCATCAAAAGAATTTGCGTAAATTGTGTAGAAAGCTGAAACTAGATATTTTATTAATACTTATAAAAAAAATAGAAATTCTAAATATTTATAAAATAATTATATGTAAGAAAATGAATTTGCAATTTCAATTTGCGTTCCTTCCTTCAAAAAAAATGATGATGTTGTATACTACTAATTAACGTAAGATATTGTATTAAAATATATCTAGATTTACTGAATAGAACTAAAGATGTTCATTTTCCGTAGATTATCGCTATTCATATTTAAAAAACTACATTAATCAGTAAAAACTCTTAAAGGGATTCTGCCTAAGTTTCCTTCTATTAATTGGTGGAGATCCACCTATTCTAATGAAGAATTAATAGAGGAGAGAAGAATTTAGTTTGATTATTTCTATAAAATTCTCCTTTTATGCAAAGTCTGTAAAAGTTTGATAATGAAAAATTTCATCCTCAAATCATAATGTTTGCATTTGAAAAAATAAGAATAAGGAGATAGAATTTAAATTAATAAGGAATAAAAAATTAAGTTCAATAAAGAAAGAGAAGCAGGAGTTATTCCAAATATTAATTATCTTCAGCTAGACCAAAAAGAGGAGTAGTTAACTAAAATTAAATAAAAAACAAATACCTGAGACTTAGCTTTTTTCTCCAATTGAGGATTCAAAAGATAGATCACGTTCTTGGAAATTTAAATTTACTAAAAAGAAATCCTTATCTATATGCTCTAAAGAAAACAATTAATTAAATAATGTAAAAATAATATCTTATATTAGTTGATTTTCGGAGGAGCACCAATATTTAAAGGAATTATTTTAAAATTAAAATGATAACAAAAGAATTTTATAAATAATCATTAAAAAATATTTTTATTTTTTGATAATTCCACTTAATTTCATAAATTTAAACCATTTAATTTTAATTTAGCGTTATTCTTGATTTAATATTTATAATTTTGATAATTTAATTTTTTAGAAATTTAATGGTGAATTAATTCAGATTGTCATTTCAAAATTATAGTTTTTTGAATTATTTTGCAATTAAGAAATTCTATTGATATTAAATTTATAAATATATCTTAAATATTAAAATTATTGATAAATTATATATCCATTTTTTAGGATCTTACATTATTTTTAAAAACATTTTGATTTTTTTAAGATAGTTCATTTATTTCTTTTTATATATTAACTTAATTTTTTTAATAGAAATATAATTTAATAATAAATATTTTTTTTTATCATTATGAATGATTTTGATTGTTTAAGGGAAAAAAGGATTTAAATATAAAGAGGATGATCTTCTTCCGAAATTTCAGTTTGAAATAATTTAAAACTAAAGTTTGTATAAAATTTCCAAGACTTTCATTTAATTAATTTCAGTATTTATATTATTTAGAATCTCTAACCTACATGTATTTGATATAGGATAAATGTAAAAAGAAATATATTATTGAATTTTATACATAAGAATTAGTATTATTTATTTAAAAATATGAATTAAATTTTTAAATTGAGATAATAATATTATTTTTTTTATATAAATTTAGATTACGTAATATATGTATTCAAAGCAAAAATCATAAATGAAAAAATAATATTAATAATATTATCAAAGAAAATGAAATACCTCATTGCTTTACTGTTAGTATCCACCATATTAGCAGCAATTCCAACCAAAGTTATTAATTGCATGACAGATCCTAAGATTGTTTTTACAGAAGCAACTTTCAGTGTTACACCAGCAAAAGGAGTTGATGAAACTATAACACTTTATGGAACTGCAAATGATCATGTTGAATTAGCTAATGTTTAACTTAAAGCTAAATGGAATGGAATAGATTCTTTTGAAGACAATTACCCAGAAGATGAAGTATATGATAAAGGAGATCCTGTAACATATTAAATGACCTAAAACTTCCCCACTTATACTCCATCTGTACTATTTCAACTTATTTTTATAGGGTAAAATTGTTGTTCAAATGTGGTTCCAAAATGCTAAGGGAACTAACTTTGCGTGTGCTGAAGTAGGATTTATTATTTGATTCCTAATATTATTGTTCATTTAATATGATATAAGCTTTAAATAATTAAAACAACTATCAATTTTGAGATAAATTTTTAGATTCTTTTAATCAGGAATTTCAAGAAATGAAAATTTGTATAATTATTTTAAGTTCTTTTTTTCTTCTTACTAATGTTTTTTTAGATTAATTGAAGAATCAGAATTATATAAAGAACATAAACAAAACTTATATAAATTTAAAACTTTAAAATAATAATTGTTAATCAAATTTAAAATCAATTGTTTTCTATAAAATTATAAATTACTATAATAGTTCATTTAAAATAGCTCAACCAAATTTATATATCATAAATCCCAATTAATTTATGTAAAAATGTATCATACATTAACTTTCATAAGAAACAAATGCTCCAAAATGTAATCCAACAATTACATGCCATGTTCCTTAAAATTTATTATCGAATTCATTTTTTATGTATTCTGCTATGTCTTTAAAATATCTCTTTTCTCTTTTAGCAGACAATTCTAAAAATAAATAAAAAAGAATTACTAAAAGCATGCTCAGCAGTTTCAAATGCAAATTCTTTTTATGCTTAACTCATATCACAAAAAGTAACAACAGGTTTATGAATTTCTAAATTTGAAACTATTACAACAGCATCTTTGGCTTAACCTCCCCTACCAAAAGACTTATCAATAGCTGAGCTTCCTATCTTTGATATGTCCATTAATTAATTGTATTATAATTATTATATAATATATTAACTAAATTAGTATTGTATTATATATTTATTTTATTTTTATAATTCATTTATAATAAGTGAGATTAAAAATGTTAGAATAATAGATTTTTTGATTTCTTATATTAAATAAATTATCCATCTTAAAAGTACTTTTGATTTTGATGTTTATATTTTGTGATATCTAAGAAAATAATATGAAAATTAGTTATAATATTTAGGTTGATTAAATTGAAATATAAATATTATTGTAAATGTAACCATTAAGAACGAACTCTGTTTATTTTCCTAATAAAAGAAAAGAAGAATCATCTCCAATATCTAGGAAAATATCATTTTAACAATAAAATGAAAAGAATTCCAATAAATCTTCTTTCCTTGAAACTCAAGAGTAATAATTCAAAAAAAATAATATTATAGAAACTCTAGGATTAAAAGAGAAATGTATTTTTATAATTTAATACTTTAGAATTGATTGCATTAAAAGGCACTTAGTTTTAATAGTAAGAAGTAGAAAATATATTTAAATCACTTAATAAATATGCTATGAAAATATTTGAATAGTAAAAATTAAGTGATGTATGTATTTTAATTCTTTAATGGATTATATAACATAGAGGATATTAAGATATACCTAATTAAATGTATTTAATAACTAATTTTGATTTTTAGATGTTTAGCTTATAATAATTTAGGTTGCGTTTATAGAAGGATTGGTCAAACATAATTAGCAATAAATGCTTTAGAGAATGCTCTATCATAAGTCTAGTAATTTGATCAAATTAAAATGAGAACGATAACTCATTTGAACATTACAACGGTGTTAAGTTAAATGAATCTGTATAATTATGAAATTTAATATTCCTAAGGCATGAAAAGGCTTTAAAGGAAGCAAAGAAAGCTATATAATCAGGTTAATAAGAATTTGATTCAAATTCTAAAGAAACTATTAGATATTTAGCCTTGGCTCATTATAATTATGCTTTTGAATTGGAATCTTTAGATCGTTAAGATTAGGCAGTTAAATAATATAAAAGATCTTTGTAATTTGTTACTGAACATTTAGGTAAATAGGATCCATTATATAAAAAATTTTATAATGGACATTTATAAGCCAAATAGAAATTAATTGTTTAAATGAATGAATAATCTCCAATTCTTTTTTAAAAGGTTTTATCATTAAAAAAGTAATTTGATATTCCAACTGATGAGAGTTTTTAATAAGTAACACCATAATAAAGTCCTCTTAGTTAAACAAGAAAATTAATATAAAAAAAAAAGATAAATTTTATTGAAAGTGAAACTGTTAAAAAAGATTACAGTGGTTCTTTTTTAAGAAGAAAAACAGATCAAGAAAGATTAGAAACTGATAGAGATAAACTTAAAGATATTTAAACTAAATTAATTGATTTAAATATAATAAGTTCTGTTAAAACTAAAATTAAAACTTAAATAGAATAAATTTAAATAGATTAATGGTCTAATTCAGAATAATCTGATAATGAAATCAAATAATAAAGATAAACTGAGCGTTCTCCATCATTAAAAAGATCATTTTAAACTAAAAATAGTTTTTAAGATTTAAGATTAAGTTTTCTTAATAGATAAAATTCTTAAAAAATATACTTTGATTCTTCATTAATTGAAAAAGAGAAATAGATTATTAGAGAAGTAGAAGAATAGATATATAATACAAATTAAATAACTAAGATATAAGCATAAATTAGAATGAAGAAGGAAAGGAAAAAGTTTTATAATCTTAAGAAAATTATAAAAGACTCAGGGAATCTTTTAAAAACTGATGAATTAAAATTAAAAAAATTGTAAAGGTTTCTTAGAAAAAAATTAGTAGAAAATAAATTAAGAGAAATAACTTAAAAATTAGTTTAATTTAGCAAAAAATAAAAGAATCTTTAAAAGGAAAAAAAAGCGATTTAGATAATTATTAGTTTTATTATAAAATATAAAGCAAAAAAATAATTTGAAATCTAATAATTATTTAAAGCAAAATAATTTTAAACTATTAGATAGGGTTTTTGTAATCCATTAATAGAAGGTGTAGTTCATAAATACGATACATATATATTTACATTTTCAATAATGAATAATTTATAGTTTGTAAGATTTTCATTAGCTCATGGAATGAAAGAAAAAAGAAAAGATAATTATTTGTATTTAGAAATAGATTTAGAGAGTTTTTTAAAATCTTTAGGTTTATTATTTTAATATGCTGATGAATTAGAATGTCAAATAATAGAAGAAAGTAAATTATTGAGGAATGTTAGAAATTTAATGACTTTGTCTTAATAGTTTCTATATTTAAATGAATTAGATGGAAAATATGTAATAAGAACTAAAACAGAAACTAATAAATAATTTAGAGTTTAAATTGAGAAAATAGGAGTAGTTTTATAAGAACTAGTCTTAATTCAAAATAATAAATTAATAATCTAAGGAATTAATAATTTTTATTACTCAGAAATTATACCATAGATAGAATAAATTAGAATTATAAATCCTCCATTGTACAATAAATAACTTAGTTAACATGAAGAAAAGGCAATAAGATATATTTAATCTTATATAAGAGGGCATCTTTAAAGATTAAGAGTTTCGAAATGGATGAATAATAAGACGAAATAAATTTATGATTCTTAATTAATTAGAACAAGTCGAAATTAGTATTTATAGATAGTTAAAACAAAAAATATTCATAATTAGAAGGAATATATATATATATTAAATCATGAGAGTTAGAAAAAATCGAATGATTTAGAAATACATTAAATAGTATTCAAAAGGATGGGAAATATTAGTAGTGAAAATTTATTTGAAATATTTAAAATTGATATAGAATCTCCTTTTATAGAATATACTGATGAAGCTAAATATTGGATTTAAAGAGAGGAAGAATATTCTCGAAGGGAAATGATTTTAGGTGAATCTGTAAAAAAAGCAAACATTTGTATAATACAAATATAAAGAGCTGCTTTGAGATATTTATTTGTAAGAAGACTTTAAATAAACAAAATGATTAAAAAAAAGTTTATTAATAGTACAAATAAAGATATTGATAGAAAAATGTTAGTAAGAAGAGTTATCATTTATGGTTAAGGTGTTGATGAGAAAGCATGTTTGACTACATTTTATTTAGATATTGAGAAAGCAGAACCAAAATAATCATTAATCGGACAGAGTGAATATTTTAGTATAACAATTACATCTAAGAATTTAGAACATGTATATTCAATTGATACAGTTTTACCTTATCATTAAAGATTATTTTAAACATTTGAAATTAGTGATATAATTACAATTGCTTAAAAAATGATAGAGGTATCTTCTATAATCAAAAATAAGAAAGGATAATATAAAGTTGATTGTAAAAGTTTAGAATAAATTTCTAGTGAAGTTTTATCATAATAAAATTAAGAATCACAAGATGAATAAAATTTTAGAGAAAATACATTATAAGCTAGATTAATTGTTTGTTCTACTTTAACCTATAAATATTTATAATAATCAGGGCTTATTAATTTAGAGTTTCCATAAATGTAATTAAATAAGTAACCTGATGAATATAAGTAAAATAATTTTATAATCTCTCTTTAAAAGTTATTTAGAATTCACAAATATAAAAGGGGAATGAAAATAAAATCAAATAAATATGTCGATGTAAATGATGAAACATAAATAAGGACATATGTTATGAATATGTTACCTTGTACTGAATATGGAACAAATCCAGATTTATTTAATGAATTATTGGAAGATTAAAATTCTATAAGTGATTTAAAATCTGAAGATTCATCAATTATAGATAAAGAATATGTTGGAGAATTAATTTTAGAACTTAGAGAAATTAAGTTTAAATTTATAATAATCTTTAATTTAAATGAATAGGCTTTTATCATTAAGACTTAAAATTTATCAACTTAAAAAGTTTCAAAAATTTTAGTTCCTATTATAGAATTTTAAAAGTATTCTCAAATAACTTATTAATATATTAAAGAAAATTTTAGTAATATATTATCACCATGTTTTGATTTTATTGATGATTAAATAATATTTAAAATTGATAAAACCAAAAAGTAAAATATGATTGATGAATAAATGATTTTATATGAATATTAATCTAAGTATGAAGAATTTAAATAAACTATTTAAAATTAATTAAATCATGATTAAAAAACATTATGTAGTGAAAAAGTTATTATAGGAATATTTTATAAAGGTACAACAACTTTAACTTATGAATTTCATAGAGATACTTTGCTTTTAAGAATTATTATTTAATATCATAATGTTTAAGAAAAAAGAGTTATTGAAATTGATTCAAGTGAATTTAATTCCAAATATATTGATGAAAATATAAAAACTTTAAATAATTTTAGAGTGATTAATTTCTTTAAAGGATTTTCATAAACTATAACAAAAGCTTTAATTATTGATGAAACACAATTTTCTCATAATTTTGAAGATTTAAGACCTAAAATATCATTTCTTTTAAGAGAAAGATTTGTTTTTAAAATTTAAGGAATGTTGTTAGTTAAAAGGATGGTTGAAAAATTTAAGATTTATAAATAATTAAAAAGATCTAAACTATTTCTTTAAAAATTTATTTTAAATAATAATTCAAATTATATTGAAATAGATTACTTCTTAATAAAACATAATTATAGTTTATAATTAACAATGAGAGAGTTAACATATATAACGCATCAAGGTAGAGTTATAGAGAAAGGTAAAATCTAATAATTGAAAACAAGATTTAGAGAAAAACAATTCATAATAAATTTAAATTAGTTATAATAAGAGAATGAAATTTTATTTAATTTTTTACATAAAAGACAAGATTAAATAGATTTTTAAAGAATTAATTTTTATTAACTTTCTTCATATGATAAAATGAAAGCTATTGAATATTATAGATCATTAATTAATCCATTAATTTAATTGATATAAAAAAATATGTAAATTGATTTTATTAAATTTTAATTCAAACTTGAAGTTCCAATTAATATTTATGAAATAAATGTTTAAAAAAAAAGGAGAAAGAAATTTTAGAATCAATCAAAATATTAAATGATGACAGTATGTATATTATCTGCATAAGCTGCATTTAGAAGAAAATTATTTAAAGATTGGATTCATTTGAAAGTAATGAGAAAAAGATAATTACAAGAAAAAAATCGATATTTTATAGGTGAATTCGTATTAAGAACTTTTAAATTAATCTAAGAAGATAATAAATACAATTATTATATTATAAATGTGTATAAATAAGATGGAAAATATGATGATCAAATATAATTAACATTTGAATTAATTCCAATTATTAAATAAGAAAGATAAAATAAACTCAGAATATCCTGTTATTATGATAGTTCTTAACTAATACATTTTGGATAATAAAATTTATTTGAATTTTTTATAAATAAAATAAAAATTGAAGAAAAAATAATTAAGTTAAATGAAAATAAATTTTTAGAATTAAATTAAGATTAGATATAGGATTAATCAAAATTATTTAATTTGAAGGATTAAATGGAGTAAATAAATGAAAGAACAATTGTTGCCTAAGATTTATAAGAAATACTTATTGATTAAGAAAAAACAGAAGATACATTAGTTAATATAGTTTATACAAATTCAAAAGAAAAAATAAATAAAAATTAAGATGAAGAAATTTAAGAAAATATAACAAAACTTTAAATTGATTTATAAGAAGTTAAAAAATTATATCCAAGTTTTAATTTTAAAGATCCAAATACAATAAAAATTTTGAGTTCTAATCTAATTAAAGGAGTAAAAGTTGATTAAAAATCTGGAAATTTGTTAATCGATAAAAGTAGGATTTAATCTTCTTTTATAAATCCTATCAATTTATCAAAAAATTCATTAAATTCCTATTAAAATATTCCATAATTTTTTAAGAAAGTAAGATTAGCTTAAAGGCCTCATTCAAATAATGTTTTAGCAAAAAGAACATTTTACACTTAAGGAAAGAAACATTTAATTGTAATAAGTTATGAGAGAAGAAAAATAAATAAAATATTATTTTAAGATAGAGACTCTGTATTTGATGATCATTAGAGAATTTTTGAAATAAAAGCACAATAATTGAATTTAAAAGAATGTTCAGAACCACTTTTATGGTATTTGACTCCAGATGATGCATAAATTCTTACTCATTAAAAAACAATAGAAAATATGGCAAACATTTTAATAAAATAAATTTAGATTATAAATTCTAAATTTATTTATTTATGCTTTAATTAATAAGATTAATAATTGGTAAAATAAATATAAGAAGGAAATGTAGTATTTTTTGTTGAAAGCTCAATTAAGCCTATGCAGGAAAAGTTTAGGAATAGAATGTTACAAAAACATTATCATGAATATAGAAAAACATTAAACTAAGTAAAGAAAGAGGGAAAATTGATTTTGCATAAAGTTGGAAATTTAAATGCTAGAGATAAAATGTTCATTTATTTATTTATTGAAGAGAAAGAACATTATATTATGTTAAAAATTTTTGATGTTAGTGATCAAATGTAATAATTTGGAACAGAAATATCATTAAAAAAAGTAATTATTTATTTATTAATATAGTATATTAGTATTTATTTATAAGATAAAGCAAAATTCTTAGAAGTTCTATTAAATTTTATTGAATTCAAGAATGAACTTAATAAAATTTTATTTTTGTATCCTAAACCAGAATTATTGGAAGATTATTTAAAAAAGCAACGTCAATTATCATGTTAGAGTTCTTCTATGTCTGTTTAAAGATCAATAGGATGTAATGTATAAGGGATTTGTTCTAAGTAGGATGATAATAAAATGGTAGGATTGATAAATGGATTTCAATCAATTAATCTAATTTAGTAATGATAAATTATTTGTATAAATATATTAATTAATATCCATTTTAATTTAAGTGAATTAACTATTTGAAAAATAATAAATATAGGAAAAACAATATAAATGTATTTCTTTGCAATAATTTAAAGCAGTAGATTTTAATCATTTTATAATCATGGTATTGCATCAACTTAATAAGTAAAGTATAAAAAGATTGCTTATAAAGAATAGTCAGAAAATACAGAAATATTTCATATTTTAATAGAAGACTTTTTATCTTATATTATCTTCTAAATAAACTATTTTAATGAATACATAGTTAGAAAAGGATATTAATAAGGGAGTTTAAATTTCATTAGAAGAGAATAACACTCTTTTAAATATTGGAATTTTTCCTTAGTTGAAAATTATATATTGAAATTAAAGATGGAAAAATCAAGAAAATATAAAGGGTTACTTTCTAATGTCTAATTTAATTAGTGTGATAATCATATTAATGTAAAATAAATTTAACAGAAATTCTTATTAATGTTTATAAAGATAATAATAATAATAAAATAATTTAATTGAATGTTTAATAAATTAATGCATGTATTATTAAAAGAATATTAGAAAGAGGATATATAAGAAGATGATTAAAAACATAAATAATAATAAGATTACATAGTTTATAAATATAATAATATTTATTAATTTTATTGATGATGAGAGGCTTCTTTGCAATAACAAGAGCTTTTATTGCTCCTTATGCCAAATAAACATTTAATTTCTCTTCCTAGCAGTCTAAAATTTAAATGAGAATATATGTTACAAATCTACTATTACAAGTGTCATTAACAAAATAAATCATATTATTAGATTATCCTCTACAATGTCAGGTTTACGTATTGCTAATTTATACAATTTATGCTTATTTTCATTATTAGAAGAGGCTTAAGGCAATATTAATGATTTAGTATTATTAGGTAAATTTATATTTATGAATTTTAAGATGACTCGACTGATTTAGATAATAGACAAATTGGTGTACATTAAGGATGTATAGTTTTCAAATGATAAAAAATTATTAATAAAAATATTACAAATTTGTATAAATTATACAGCAATACAAATTATTCATTAAAACTAATCTAGTTCATACAAAAAATATATGACTTTTTAAGATTCTGACTTAACAATTATATACTTTAAACTTTTTTATGTTCAAATAGATATAAATTAATCTTCCTCTTCAAATTGAATTAGCCTATTTATGAACTTTAATAGTAGCTTATAACATAACTCTACTAGAACAATTTTCGAGTATGTTTAATTATAGATGGATTTTTTAATTATTTGTATGAAGTAAATTTTATTTATAAAAGGATATTAAGACACAATTAGATACAAATAGTTTTAAATGATTGTTTGATATTCCAATATTTTATTAATTATTTCTTTGTTTATATATGAGCTATAACACGTATGGTTATGAAGAAGAAAAAATACCTGCATATGATGCATAATTTGATAACTTTGAAGAGATTCCTCAAATATTGGATATATATAGTACAACATGTTAATCACCAAAATCATTCAAATTATCAATTCATAAACATCATACAGGATCAAGCAAATATATTCGTAAAATAAAAAAGACAAAGAAATAAAAATTAAATTAATATACTTCTGAAGAAAAAAGTAATTATTTTCATTATTTTTAGATTTCATCATAAATCAGATTGGTTCTGAAGGTTTTATCACTCATTTCATTCAATAAAATAATAAATCATTATTTCTATAAGATAAAGGATACTTAAAAATAACCAAGAAACTAGAAAAAATAAGTCTTCAATGAATTTCAAATATATTTATTATCTCTTCATGCATTAGTTATTATCAATTATATATCTTAAAAAAAGTGATGTTTTTAATTTAATTTTTGATGTTTTTCATATATTTATACCCATTATCTAAAAGCTTCAATACATTCTATTAAAGATTTTTGAAATAAAAATAAGTAGAATGTTTTAAGACCAATTCTTTTATATTTTTAATTTATTTTTTTCATTAGCATTTAGTCATTATTTATCTCTATTCCAAAACTTTTAATTATTAGTTAGGATAGAAATTCTATTGAGAAATTATAATTTCAATTAAAAATTCACAACCTTTTTTCATTAATCGTCTTATTGATTAATTTACCAAATTTCTTTATATTTTAATTAACAAAAGTTCTTTATATTATCGATAATATTGAATAATATTTTGAATGATTATAATAAATAGATGATTTAGTGATTTTATAGTGAAGACAGCATTTTCGTTAATTAAAATTTAGTCAATTTTTATAAAATTTATATTTTTCTGACTAATTACTTTCAAGTATGAAATCCAACAATTATAGGTAAAATAAGTATTTTTAATACTTAGAAACAATCCATACTCAATAATAAATTAATTTTATAGAGTATTAAAGCAGTTTTACTTGACTGAGTATATTTTATTAATTTTATTGCTCAATATTAATCAATCACATTTATGCTTCTTTATAAAGCTGTATTTAAATCTTTTGAATCTAGCTTTAAGTCGAAGATGAATATGAAAGACTTTCACTTCTAAGTGAGGGTATCAAAGAAATTACATCTTAAATGCCTAAGATAGAAACTATTGAAAGCACAGCTCTTATTAAGTTTTGTAAATATATTTAACTATTTATAAGTAATCTGTTGTTATCCATTTTAATAAGATAATATAAATATGTTGGTTTAAGCATTTTTTGAATATTATAAGAATGAAAACTTTTTTTGGGCATATACATAAGCAATATCACAAATTGGAGAATTTTAAGAGAGCAAACCAGCAACCTATAAAAAATAATCTATATATGATATTTATTAAAGAAAATAGTAAAATTTTATTATATTTTTAGAAAGGAAGGTAAAACTGGTTTAAATCACTTTTATCATTTTTCAAATACTGCATAATAAATGATGACTAAAGTTAAATTGTATATCTGTTCGTGTCTACCTAACTATTTTACTTTAGCCATTGATTTAGGAATAGACATATCAAGAATATATGACATATTTAGAATTTATTTACATAATACAAATAATAAGGAATTAATATTTGAATTGATAGAAAAATTTGAGAGTTTGAAAAAAACTTTATTTTATAATATGCATTGGATTGAATCATTTTAAGCTGAAATAGATATTTATAAACAAACATTAATTCCATAAAAATTAAGTCTCAAACTCAAATAAAATTAATAAAATTTGTCGTTACTCTATGAATAATATAAATTTTCAATGGAAAATTCTTCGTCATAAAATTAATATTCAGAAGAAAGCAGTCCTTCTATTGATTAAAAAGCTATTAATAAATAAAAAATTGATCAATATTAAGCAGCATTATGTAAATAAAATTTATTAAATTTAATTGATGAATCAATTGATTTGTATTTATTTCTCAAGCTTATTATTAAGCCATAAAAATATGATTTAATTGATGATTGGAATGATAAGTACAGTGAAACTACTATAAATAAAGATTTTTAAGGTTTTAAAACAAATTGTACAGAATTAGATGATTTATTAATAATTAGATCTTTCAAAGCTTTAAATTCTGTTTTAAAGTGCACCAAAATTGAAATCTTAAAAATAAAAATACAAAACATTATCCCAAAATTATGTATTATAAATTATTTTTACTAGTTCAATTAATATATAAAGTCCTTCGAGATCCTGAATAAAATGTAAATTTGTATCATCTTGGTTCATTAATAAATAAAATATTAGAAATGTGTCCTAAACATGCAACCTACTAAATAATTAAATTAAATTTATTATTCTCATTTTCTTAATTTTTTTATAACAGCATTATTATCAATTTAATTTTGGAAATTTTAGATTTAGACACAGATAGATATAAACTTGGTTACTTTGTTTAAGAATAAGTATGGACATATATTAATGATACAGATTGGTTTTAGTATTTATTTGCTTCTCTATTTAAATAAAATATTGAAACACATAAAAAAGATGAAAGTTATTAAAGTGAAAAAAAAGTAAAATATTTTAAAATTAATTAGACAAAAGTTTTGAGTATGTTGTAATCTTTAAATAGAAATTAAAGAGGTTCTACAAAATAAGAAATTACTGTAAATAAATCATATTTTTTTTAAACTTTCAGTACAAATGAAAAATTTGAAGATTTTCAACCTTATGATTTTTTAAATGACAAAGATGTTGATAATTTAAAATACTTTCATTAAGATAAATAAAATTTTGACTATCAATAATTAATAAAATAGATTGAGTAACAAAAGTTGATTTAAGAATAAAAAGCATGTAAAGTAAATATTGAATAATAAGAAATACCTTCCCCTCAAAGAACTAAATTTGTGAGATAAACAATAGAAATCCCTCTCAAAAAAAAATAAGTTTCATTACCAAAATTGAATAATATTGCTTTAAAATCTCCTCTTAAAAATGTGAATTCTCCTTTATCAAAAGAGAGTTCCAAGAATTTATCAATAGATAAAGATGTGTAATTAAGTTAAAAATCCAAGTAATCTTCTTCAAGTATAAGACGATCAGATAATTAAGATGATTCTTTTTCATCAAATAAAATATTAAAAACATATTAATCAACTAGCAAAACAAATGCAAGCTTGTTTAAATAGAATTAGTAAAGTAATTAAATTAAGGATGTTGAATTAATGGAATCTCTTTAATTTATATATTATTTATTGAATTCTTTGTAGTTATGTTAAACTAAATTTTTGAATCCCAGGAACTGTAATTATATTGAAAAAACAAGTAAAATATTGACAGCAGAGAATTTAGCGCACATTTTTTAAAATTTCGTAAATAAGATATTTAAGGATGATATCGGATTAATTTGTGGTTAAATTTTGAATAGCATATATAAATTTGTTTTGAGTAATCATTTAGATATGTATTACGAAATACTGAATGAATAATTTTATAATTTTATTTAGGAAATTGGAGGTTTATTTTAATTTATGGAGAGATATTAGAATTGTGGATTTAAGAGACATATAATTACATCAATTTTTTTTAATGGATATATTTTAAATAATTATTAATGTTAAAATTACTTAGAATTAAATATTTATAAATATTTGAGTAATAAAATATTTGGTTAGCTTTAACAATATTTAATTTGCAGTCCTGAAAACAGTAATTATCAACTACAATTTATAAAGTAAAAGTTTAGATAATGATTAGTTTTTTAAATTGTATCTTTTCTATGGCCCCAGCTTATTTGATTCAATAAATTTTATTTAATTATGGTTTGCTTTAAGTTTTATTTGAATCATAAAGAGTGATTATATTAAATGATGTAAAAAATGTTTAGAGTTCTCTACATTATTTTGCTATACAAATAATATATTTAATTAGAGATGTATTATAGAAAAGATAACTACAAGTTATTTTAGATAATCTTTAACCTTTAGATTTATGGTACAAACTTTGTAAAGCAAGTGAGAGTTTATAGATGGTGAAATTGGAACAGATAAAAGTAGTTGATCCAAAAGAATAGATATTATTTTCAAGGATGAAGATGAGATAATAGTTACTTAAAAAATAGTAAACAGTATAAAGAAATGAGACAATGGAGACATAATAAGCAGAATTATGTTTAACTCCTGATTTAACACATAGAACATTAAAAAATTATAGATTACGTAAACAATTTGATTTATGATATATTCATAATATTCATTTTTTTGTAACCTTCCAAACAAATACACATTAATCTTCTCCTCCAGTTGAAATGATTCTAGAATCATCTTTAGTCCATTTAACATTTGTAACATGAGATGAATGTCCAGTACCTACAACAGCTTCAGATGATTTCTTTAAGCTAGGGTATCTAAGTATTCTAACATGACTGAAATCATCTCCAGAAGCAAGTAAATGATAAGATGTTTTAGGATCATTTTTACCATTGATAGTAGTATTGGAACGATCAACAGCATTAATATCTGTACCATCAGCACATTCAGGCCAAATACCTTAGACAGGCCATCCAAGAGTAACTGTCCAAGTATACCATAATTCATCTTTTAATGCAGATGCTCCACCAGGTAACTTTATATATAAATATAAATATATACTTATTTACATTATGCTACATCCCAAAATAATAGTTCATAAGCACCACAAGTTGAATGTAAATTGACACCATCTCTACTAAAATCAAAATGTGTAATATATGATGAATGTTTTGACATTTTCTTACCTATAGCTTTCCAAGATGGATATTTATAAGCATATAATGCATTATCATGTGAACCAATAACACATGTAGTACCATCAGGAGAGAATTTAATATCACTTATCCATTCTTTAGCTTATTTAAATACTTTTGTTTAATTAAGTTCAGCATCATATATTCTAATAGTACCATCTTTCATACCAGCAGTAAATCCACCATCTTTTGGATTTGTACTAACAACACGAGCTTTACATTAATCAGTAAAATCTCCAGTATTTAAATCTCTTTTTTCTTCTTTACCATCACCTGTAAGTAGTGTATTACCAATTTTCACTTATTTTCTTTCACCTATTGACCATACACGAACAGTACCATCATCTGAACATGTAACAAATTTATCTTAATCTTCTTAAAATATATCTAATCCCCATACTTCATTTGTCCATTTTAAATTTGGACAGAAATGTCCTCTCATTAAATTACTTACCTAAAATTCTGTTTAACTATTTATAGCACCTCCATCCCAAGAAAATTAATATATTTCACTACCTAATGTACCTATTAATAATTTTGAATTTGCTAAATCTGCATAAATAGCTCGAACACTAGGACAAACAGAATCTGGACATTTCTCTTTTACTTTTACAGCCAATATTTCCTCATAATTTTTACTTAATACAAAGAATACTCCATCTCTACCTCCTGAAAATACATAATCTTAAGTCACTGTAATACAATCACAAATTTAACTATGTTTACTTGGTAATGCTTTCATAAATGCTTCACCTTTCCATATTTATATACATCCATCTGCTGCTCCACATAATGTATCATTTCCATTTATACCAATACCTGATAAATTATTACTAGCTCCTTTTCCAAATTATCCTTTCTTTCCTTAACATTTTCCATTATCATATTTCCAACATTTATAATGTTTTACACCTACTGTTACAAATGCATCATCTGTATTCCATCTTAAATCTACTATAACATCTGGACCACTCTTATCTGACCATAAAACTGCTCCTTTACCACTTACATCAAATACAGCTAATGAATGATCTACATCAACTGCTCCTGCTACTAATCTCTTACCATTTGGAGTAAATGCTATTGCTATTATACCTTTCTATAAAGGAGCTTTAAATTAACACTTCACTTCCTTAGTCTCTGCATTCCATACAAATATATTTGGTTTAGCTCCTAATTCTCCTGTTGCCACTGTTAATTTATCTACTGGATTCAAATCTATTGCTGTAATATCATCTTCATGCTTATTAAAATATGTCTATGTATTGCTTCCTATATCTAGAACTATACCTAATGCTGCTGCATTATATAGCACTTAACCATTTGATAAAAAGAACAAGTTATTTCTCATATCCTTTGTACGATAACCATGTACATATTCAATTTCTAAATCACATTTAGGTGGTTTATGTCCATCTGTTTTACTTTAATAATATTGATAAGTTGGTTCTTTGATTGCTCCCATCCATGGTTTACATGCCATAAATTAATCTCCTTCATCTGTTTCTTCTTAGGTGAATACAGAATTATCATCTTGTTATATTTATTTTTTTGGAGGAGGTTATGCTTTCTTCTTTTTCACAGGCATATCTATGTCATCTGCTCCTTCTTCCTTACATTATTCTTCCAAGTTAGCTTACTCTACTTTTCCTTAAGCACTTCCGAAATCAGTTTTCCAAACAATAATTGATTTATCATTACCACCAACAGAAATAAGGAAATTATCATCACAAGTAAATCTTACTCTCATAACATGAGATGAATGTCCAATATATTCTTTTCTTTTTTATTTTGGAACAACAACAGGATAATTCATTAAAACAACATGTTATGTATCTTCACCAGAAACTAAAAATTTCTTACTATTGCTTCTACAAACAGTATTAACATCACTATAATCAGCAGAAGGGAATATACCTTAAACAGGCCAACCTAATTTGCATGTCCAGCTTGCAAATTCTGTATTAGCTTAACTAGATGAAGATTAATTCTTTTTAGCATTTACATCAACATATTTAAGTTCATAAGCCCCACTATTAACTATTACAATAGATGAATCAACTGACCAATCTAAAGCAGTTAGAGCTGATGTTAAACCACATTAAATTTTGGTACCTGCCTTACCAAATTTAGGATATTCAATAGTCCAAACTTCTAAATGAGATGCACCACCATGAGCACCAAAGGCTACTTTTTTACAATCTGGTGATATCTTTAAATCATCAATCCAATATGTGGATTATCTTTTAGGCATAGTTGTAAATATAGTTTTAGCAGTATCCATAATTTATAATGTATTAGGATCTAATAAATATACAAATCCATTAAGATCACCACAAACTATAAATTTACCATCAGTTGACCAATCAACAGCTCTAACCTCACTTGGAAATGGTTTACTAACACACATCATCTTCTTTTAATCTATATCCCAAACACGAACTGTCTTATCGCCACCACCTGTTACATATTTATGTCCTGTTGGTGCAGCACAAGCTCCCCATAATTCTTCACCATAATGTCCTTATACTACAATACTTGTCTATTTCTTTGCTGGATCAAATGTAAATATTTAAGCTCCATTAGTACCAAATAACCATTATTAATTTTTCTCATTATAATCCATTGCGACTACTCCAGGTGGAAAGAGTGGATTTGTGGATAAATTTATTAATTCTTATTTCTTAACTAACTATCCTCCCTCATATCCCCATGATATCACTTTACCATCTAATCCACCAGAATATAATAGTTTTTTAGCCTTATCCATTATGAATGTACAAACTTTTCCTTCATGTCCTTTAATTCCCTTATCACTACTTCCCCCTTTCCAACAGAATAATGTTCCACTTCCTCCTCCTGATACTATTACTTGATTATCAAATGCATAAACTACTGAAAATTATGATTCGAATTTTCCCTATTATTAACCCATCTTTCCTTATACATTTCTTCCATTTATCTTCCAAAACTTTATATGTTTATTTCCTACTGTTACAAATTCTTCATTATCCTTCCATGCTGCTCCATTTACTTTTGCCTTGTCTATATTTGATGTACAAATCTATCTCTTTCCTTACCAATCATATATGGCTAATGAATTATCATCATCTTAACCAACAGTCAATAATAATGATCCATCAGGTGAAAATTTCAATAACACTATTGCTCTTAAATGAAATTAATTGAAATTAGCTAATACTTCCTTTGAGTCTATATCCCAAACAAAAATATCAATGCATTTTGCTTTACCTGCCTATGCCATCTATCCAGTTGCTGCTATGTTTCTTTTTGGATGTAAAGCAAAACTTACAATATCTTCTTCATGCTTATTAAAAAATGTTTATTATTGAGTTTTGGGATCAACCTCTACTCCTAATGCAGCTGACACAAATACGACTTTATTTTTATCAGTCCAACCCAACATGTCTCTACATTCATCCAAAATGTAGAAGAATCTGAATCCATGGATGTGATATAATGATAAATTTCCTTTTGGATCCTAATTATCTCTAGCCTTATTTGGCTTGTACCAAGAAGGAACTGAATGTTAAACTTCTCCTAAAAATGGTTTGACTGCTCCAATCATATCCCCTTTATCTAATTCTTCTTATTCAAACATTGCTCCACCAACATTTTCTTGTGTTTTTTCAGGTTCATCTTAAATTTCTTAGACATCTAATTTTGGTGGAGAATAGATATATCTCCATTAAAATATAGATAATTCATCACCTCCAACAGAAATTATATGTTCTCCACTATTAGTAAATTTGACTCCACAAACATATGAAGAATGTCCTGTATATTTGATACATCCACTTTTTTCCTTAGGACAAGGATTTTTGAATAATTTAAGTTTACCAAAATCATCACAAGAAACCAAACATTTACCATCTTTAGATCTATCAGTAGCATTAACATCATCACCATCAGAACAATCTGGCCAAATTCCTTAAACTTACCATCCATAAATACAAGTCCACGTGAACCATTATATATCTTTAGCAACATCAAATTATATAGGTTAGGCTGAATTTACATCATAAAATTCAATAGTATAATTACTAGTATTTAGTTAAATGAATTTGCTATCAACAGAGAAATCTAAAGTATAAACATGATATTTGCAGTTAGGTATTTTGGTTTATTTTTTCCAAGTTTTTGTAGAATAGAAAGCAATTTCTGAAAATGGTGGTTTATAACAAACACATAATAGTTCATTATTAGGTGAGAATTTGACTAATGAAATGATTTCTTTATCAGGATCAACAACTTCAGAAATTTCTTATTATTTTTTTAAAGAACCAGCATCATAGATAAATACTCTACCATTAGAACAACCAGTAGCAATCCATTTTGCATTTTAACTGACACTTAAAGTTTTACTAGCATATTGATTAGGTGTAGATTTAAGTAATTTTTTTTATTTAACATCCCACATAGCTAAGATTTCATCTTCACCAACAGTATAGAAAATATTTTATGTAGGATGAGTATCTAATCCCCATAATTCTCCATTAAAATGTCCTTACATATATAATTTACATTATATTTTTTATCCTTCTTCATAACTAAGTATTTCAGCAATTTCTGATCTTCTGGTACCAAATAAGATTCTACCATCTGGACTTTCACAAACAGAAATAACATTCGGAGATCCTTTAGGTGGGAAACTTAATTTAAGTGGTAGATCTTTAGTATCAATTTCAAACACTTTATTAAATTATGGATCCCAACCCATAATAATACCTCTTTTATCAGCAGAGATAATCCCTCTTCCAGCTGATCTAGTCATAATGGCTTTAACAGGAGTAGCATGAGCTTTAACACTTTTAATACAAATGTTTTTTTTCCAACAAAGGAAATTTCCATTAAATACTCCTGTAACAATATATCCTCCATTAATAGCAATAGTAAGAACAGGTTAAGGCTATTATTCTTTCCAAACACCTCTTTCAGCTAATATGGTACCATTCTTCCATGTACAAATACTTATTTCTTTCATACAAGCTACAACTATTTAATAATCTCCAGGTAAGAATTTAATATCAAAGACTTCTTATTTAGTTAATTTGCCACTTGCTATTAAAGGAGATGTTTTATTCTTTGGATCTTTCCTTGAATTAATAGCAATATCAATATCATATACAGCCATAAAATGATCATCATCCATGGCAATTGCTGATACACTCTTTCCATCATTAGAAAAACAACAATTAGATATACCATTTTTAAGTACATCATTAAATAAACAAACCATTCTCATATTATCAATATTCCATACCATTAACATTGGATTTAATCCTACTTATCCTGTTAATACTAAATTCTCATATATATCTAAACAAGATATATCATCATTATGTTCCAAGAAATGTTTTTAAGTCATATTATTTGGATCTAATACTATACCTACTCCTGCTGTATGATATACAATTTGACCTTTATTTCCATATTTTAAATTGTTTCTAGTATCATGACATCTATATCCATAAATATATTCTAAATCTAAAATAGCATTAGGAGGTGATGCATCCATTCCTTCTGGTTTTTTAGAGGGTTCTAATCTTTTTGCTTAATCTTTCCATTCCATTACAACTTCTTCTTCTTCTAATCCAAATTCATCACTTGCTTCTGCTTTAACTGTATGTTCAATTCCATTTTTAATACGTTCTACTCTTTCATCTCTTGGTAATAATCTTCTTTCCATCTCTATTTCTATATCACTATCAATATCATTATAACAAGTCTCTTCTATTGTCATTTCATCTTTATTAGCTAATCCCATATTGAATAGCACTTTTAAAACATCAGGATCTTTCTACATTAATTTTAAATATTCTTCATATTCAAATCCTCCATCTCTATCTAAATCCCATTTCACTAAATATTGTTATAATTTTTCTTCTATTTCTTTAGGTGTTGGATCATCTAAACCTTCATAATAATGTAAATTATTCAGTATGCTAGTTAAAAAGATTCCCACTTCTTTTGGACCTAATTTATTATCACGATCTTCATCATAAAGATCAAATATAGTTTTTGCTGTTGTCTATATTTTATAGATATATTAATATTACTATCAAAGGATTTTAACATAATGATGCAACTCCTACTTTAAATTTATAATAATCAACTCGACCACTGTCATCAAAGTCCATCAACTTAATAATCTAATTAATAATAACATTCTTTTATTACTTTTATTGCTTCTTTATGAGTAACATTATATTGATCAGCAAACTTGTTTGGATCTATTACTCCATTGCTTTCAATCTACAACCATTTATCACTTTATTTTTATTATAACTCATACCTTAAATAATCAATTTGATTGTCAGAAAAACCTTGGAATCTGTTTTTCCTGAATTTGCCCATGATTTGATTTCCCATTATAAATTAATTGAATAATTTAATTAATCATTACAACAAAAAATTAAGAGGCTTTTAGAATCATCATCAAATTCTTATTTTAAGTGTTCTTTAATAATATCTATGCTAAAACCAGAGACAATATAATAACCATACTTTAATTAAGAATGTCCATACAATTCTGTATAACTTCATACTATTACATTTAACAATGTTTGGGATTACTTAATTCATCTTTAAAAATGTCATCTAATTAATTAGAGATCTGATTTTAGAAAATCTTCTGAATATTTTATGTGTCATCGTTGTCTCAAAGTTTTTGAAGAATTTTAATAATTTTTGGATCATAGAAGCACATAACATGTCATAAACTTTGAACTTATTTTTGATAAAAAACCATAAAAAGTCATTAATCTTTCAAAGAGAGGTAAATGGGAGATTATCAAATTAATTGAAAATTATAAAGATCATTACCTTAGTAAAAATGATGTGTAACATATTTAAATCTTTCCTTAAGATTAAACTGATCCTCGTTTAAATACTCCAAGAGATACAATTGCTAAAATTAAGAATCTTTAAATAGAGAGAAAAGAAAGATTGTAATTATATTTATTACAATCTAAAGTTTTAGAATCTGCCTATCACAAATTATTTAATCACTACAAAGATCTATCTATGATTAATAAAGAGTATCCATATAAATTAACAATGGATTCCTTTCATTAATTAATGATTAAACACAATGTTAAATTGAGTTCATAATTATTTAATTAAACAAAAGTATGTGAATTTATGGAAACTGCACTCACTAATCCTGAAGATCATCTTATATATATGAATAGAAGAGCTATAAATAAATTCTTTTATTTATGGATTTTAATTCATGAAGATATGAATCCTTTTTAATAAGTTTAATTCTAAGAACCATGGGTTATATTAGCAATTCCAACTTAATCTGGATAATTTTATCATATACCAACATAAAAAACTTGTGATAATTTAGAATTATTATAATTACAAAAATTATTAAATGAATAAATGGATATAGCCAAATCAATAGAATAAGAGAGAGCTAAATTTGATTAAAAAAAGATTGAAGAAAGTAAAGTATTTGAATAAAAAATCATGAAACTTGAAAATTTAGAAACACAATTAAGAATTTAATTAACTACTTAAAATAAATATTAAAATGATTTTGAATCAGTTAAATAATAATTGTAAGATTAATCTATAAGTGATCTATAAGAGCGTAGTAAGAAACTCGACTTTTATTATTAATTATAAAGATCGAAAATATAAAATGATATGACTAATCAATCAGAACTTTTTAAATTAGCTGAGTCTTTTGCAAAAGAAAAACAAAAATTATTATAAAGAGTTGAGATTTATACTGAAAAAAGAAACAAGATACATTATGAAACTCAAAATTTAAAGGCTTAAATTACAATTTTGGGAGAAAAACTGTTATAAGATGAATAAGAAAAAATGAAAAATAAAACTAGAAGAAGATAGAAAATTATTTAACATTTGTGTATAAAATGTTAGAAAAATAATAGGGAAATAATTCATTTTCCATGTTAACATTTTCTTTTTTGCACTTAATGTATTATTTAAGGAATGGTTGAAAAAAGATAATAATGTCCTTTAGTTGCAATTGGCTAATGTAGAGATTCCAGATATTTAGAGAAGAAATTTAAGACTGTAAAATTCACAAAGAATGATTGATTGATTATTAAATACAACAATTAATCTTTCGTTTTTAGACTTCTTGTATTACTACATAAGAGTAATGAAATTTATTTCTAAAAAAAATATGGAATCTTAAATAATTTAATTATGTAACAAGGTTTCTTGTAATAACAAAATGGATATTATGATGATGTCCCATAGAATCCAAATGAATAGAAGGAGTAATCAACAAGTGCTTTGGAATGGTTGGCCGTTATTGGATTGGTTTTATTAACATATATGGTCATAGTATTCCTTTGGATAGTGTGTAATGTGAATATTAATCTTAGGTATGGCTGGTATTCGTAATAATTTTGAAGCTACAGTCATATGTTTTATGGTCATCTTTTTTTGCATATATATCCCAGGAATAGGCTTTTTCTGGTGGAAAGGATTGTAAGTGAGAACCCAATTAATATAAGACTTTATTAATAGAAAATTGTAAGAAAATCAAATGGAAATTGGAGGAAGAGTTTGATTAAATTAAATTCAATATAATAACTATGTCAATTCTATACGACCTCTAATTAACAATTAATGGAAAATTTATAATAATTTCTTTTTATATTATTTATTCCTCCCAATCTCTAGTTATCATCTATATCCTAATACAATTGTATATCCAAAATATATGCATAATCAAATTCATATTAAGACTTACACTTACATTAATCTTAAGTCTAAGATTCAAATCATTAGGTTTCTTGTCTAATTCAGATAGTTCCTATATTATCATCATCTAAGACAATTCATTCTATTCTTATATTAGCTTAGAAATTCAGAGTTAGATCTTCCTCTTTCTATTTTACATTAATCTAATAAATCCTTAGCAATTTTAAACTATCTCAATAAAATATATTCCATAAATTTTTAAGTTTGCACTTATCGTAATATCAATTCTTTTGCATTTTCTTTAAAAGAATATTTACTCAATCCATTAAAAATTTATCATATGAATTCTATTCATATAAATTAAAGCTACAAAAAGAACAGATTGAATCTACAATTATCATTTCATTTAATCATTCTTATCAATATCAACATTTATAATTACCAATATTCTCATGTTATATGACAATTCATCAATATCATTCTCTTTTCGCTTAATTTCTACTTTCACTCCTATCTATTTTTAGCTTCAATTATTGAACTAATCCAAAAATTAATAAGAAAATAGATTACTTATTTAATATTTTTAAATATGAGAAAATTATTAATAATTTCAGGTCTAGCTGGATCATCAAAATAAGAAGTTGCTAAAATTTTAAGTAGATAAATGAAAACAAAAGTATTGCCAGCTGATTCTTTACAAGTAGTTCTTCGTCAACTTTAAAAAAGGTTTATAAAAATTGGCCTATATCCACTAATTGGCCAAATGATCTATCAAATTATGAATTGATTGGTAAATATGATGGATTTTCGAATTTACTTACTTGCTTTTAAGTAAAAAGTGAAGTCATTTAAACTTTGAATAAGATTGAGAATCCAATTATTGAAGGTGGATGTTGTTTTTTTATTAATTAACTCTTAAAAGCAAGACATGAATAATTTAGTGAATTAGAAATATAGATAGCTGATCAAAAAGCTAAAGAAATGTTTCTTAATTGTTAAGATGCTTAAACTCTATTAAAATCTCTTTGTAAGAAATATAATGGATAATTTATAATTACAGATAAATATCGTATGATAAAAGCAATACGTAATGCTCTTCTTACAAATGGAGAAACATTTTAATCAACATTTAATATTAATGAACCGAAATTAAGTGAAATTTTTGATGTAAGAGGTTTTTTTCTAAGTGAATCGTAAGAAAATATATGTAAAAAAATTTATAAAAGGTAATCAATTCATAAAACAAAAAAGGTGTGATGATATGCTTAAATAAGGAGTTCTTAAGGAATTTTATGAATTTTATTTACTTAATAAAAATATCAACCTTTATTAAGTAAGACATAGTACACCAATTGGATATAATCTGTTTGTAGAAATGATTAAAAGTTTTAATTTGATTAATGAGAATACACAATATTCTTAATCAAGAAAAGAAAGTTTAAAGAGAGTAAAAGTGAGAAATTTCATAGAGAAATTTTATATTAATTCAAGATAATATACATCATATTAAAGAAGATATGTTAGATCTAATTTAAATTAATTTATTTGGATAGATAATGGCTTAAAAAACATTCCAGAAATGATATCTTCATATTACTATTGTGATAGATAACTTTATGAAAATGAATTAAATAGNTCTACTTTCACTCCTATCTATTTTTAGCTTCAATTATTGAACTAATCCAAAAATTAATAAGAAAATAGATTACTTATTTAATATTTTTAAATATGAGAAAATTATTAATAATTTCAGGTCTAGCTGGATCATCAAAATAAGAAGTTGCTAAAATTTTAAGTAGATAAATGAAAACAAAAGTATTGCCAGCTGATTCTTTACAAGTAGTTCTTCGTCAACTTTAAAAAAGGTTTATAAAAATTGGCCTATATCCACTAATTGGCCAAATGATCTATCAAATTATGAATTGATTGGTAAATATGATGGATTTTCGAATTTACTTACTTGCTTTTAAGTAAAAAGTGAAGTCATTTAAACTTTGAATAAGATTGAGAATCCAATTATTGAAGGTGGATGTTGTTTTTTTATTAATTAACTCTTAAAAGCAAGACATGAATAATTTAGTGAATTAGAAATATAGATAGCTGATCAAAAAGCTAAAGAAATGTTTCTTAATTGTTAAGATGCTTAAACTCTATTAAAATCTCTTTGTAAGAAATATAATGGATAATTTATAATTACAGATAAATATCGTATGATAAAAGCAATACGTAATGCTCTTCTTACAAATGGAGAAACATTTTAATCAACATTTAATATTAATGAACCGAAATTAAGTGAAATTTTTGATGTAAGAGGTTTTTTTCTAAGTGAATCGTAAGAAAATATATGTAAAAAAATTTATAAAAGGTAATCAATTCATAAAACAAAAAAGGTGTGATGATATGCTTAAATAAGGAGTTCTTAAGGAATTTTATGAATTTTATTTACTTAATAAAAATATCAACCTTTATTAAGTAAGACATAGTACACCAATTGGATATAATCTGTTTGTAGAAATGATTAAAAGTTTTAATTTGATTAATGAGAATACACAATATTCTTAATCAAGAAAAGAAAGTTTAAAGAGAGTAAAAGTGAGAAATTTCATAGAGAAATTTTATATTAATTCAAGATAATATACATCATATTAAAGAAGATATGTTAGATCTAATTTAAATTAATTTATTTGGATAGATAATGGCTTAAAAAACATTCCAGAAATGATATCTTCATATTACTATTGTGATAGATAACTTTATGAAAATGAATTAAATAGTATTGTTAATATAGCATTGAAAAGTGAGAAATATTCTGAATCATAAGGATAGTAAATGAAAATGGAGATATGTTAAGAAATTTAAGAATTAGTTTATGAAACAATGTAAAATATGATTTTTGTTTGAAAGGATATAAATAAAAAGAAAATAATAAAATTATCATTAATAATTATGTTTCCATGTCTTGAAAAAGTGTATTAGATGGTTCTGTAAACTCAACTCTAATTTCTAGATACTGATCCAATACTCTAAATCAAATTGTAAGATCCATTTCGGTTAATTTTGAAGAAAGAATACTTGCATATCTATAAAGAGGATGAGCCATTAATTTCTTTTTCAATTAGTTTTCCAAATTTAATTAGATGGCATGTAACAAATAAAATCTTAATTGGTTTTTCAATAAAAGAATTTGAATTCAGAAGTCATTAAAATGATTTATTGAAAGAATTAAAAAAAATCTTAGCAGGAAGATTATTTTTTTCTAAGGTTTAAGATTTTTTTATTCCTATGAGAACATTAGGAAAGGGAAGTTCTTCAAAAGTATTATTGGTAAGAGAAATAGATGGAGTAGATTATTATGCTGCAAAATGTGTATAAAAAGAAGAAATGTCATTCTAAGAGATTGAAATAAATAATTAATTGTAGCATTGTGCTTTTATAACAGTAAAGGAAGTATATTAAGGAGAGACAAGTTTTTATATAGTGATGGATTTATTATCAGGTAAAAATTTATAATCGTTTCTCGGACATCATAAACCTTTGCCATTAAATTAAACTAAATAGATAATGCATGTAAGATGATCAATAAATATAAGAGGCCTTATTAGAGGGAGTAGAATATATGCATTCGAAAAATATTATGCATAGAGATATTAAGCCAGAGAATATAATTCTAGAGATAAGGGATGGATAAGTTAGACTTAAAATTGTAGATTTTGGTTTAGCTACTTATAGTACTTTGAGTAATATATATTATAAATAATTATTAGAAAGATTTAAATATCCAAAATGTGGTACTCCAGGATTTGTTGCTCCAGAAGTTATTAATTTATAAAACAATAATCAAACTTATGATAAGATTTGCGATATATTTAGTTGTGGAGTGATCTTTTATAAATTACTAACAGGAAGAGATGTATTTCCAGGATCTGGCTTTAATTATGTTTTAGAACTTAATAAAAAATGCAATATTGATTTCTCTCATCTAACTCTTTAATAATTACCTGTAAATTTGACAGTATACATTTTTAATTATTGAGGAATCTTGTTTAAAGAATGTTATCAAGAGATCCTAAATTAAGACCTACAGCTACTTAATGTTTAAATCACGAATTCTTTCAAAATCTTGAAAAATATAATAACTATCAAAAAAAATAAGGATTTTTATAATCTAGATTGCATACAGTAGAATTTAATTAAGATTAAGAAATTTAAGATTATTAAGGTTCCTTTGTAACTACAGAAAAGATTTAAAATCAAAGTTAATCTAAATAAAAATAAAAAACTATGTAAAGATTTAATACATCACAATTTGATAATATGATTTGAATATTCAAAATTAACATTATGATTATTACAAAGAACAATATTTTGCTATATTTGATTCACTTGGAAAAAATACAGTTTGTGTGTAATAATTTTTATTTCTTGTTTAAGTTTTAGTTTCACCTAATTGAATTCCACTACATAAAAGTAAATTTTTAAGAGGTTTCCAATTATTTTTAACACTTGTTCTATTTGATAATATAACAGGTTAACTATTTTATTTACTTACTCTTTTTATATAATTTGCAAATATTTTATTTTTAGAATCTTAGATTGGTTTTAAATTTGGGGATTCTGTTTCTCTAGATTTCAAATTATTTTCAGTATCACATTTTTTAATAATTGAATAGCATTCACTATAATTGGGTAATTAATAATAATTTGATTGTTTTGATGATGACATAATTCTAGAAGTAGAATCAATAGGATCAATATCTTATTGACTAATTTTAGTAAGTGTTTCTTGATTTTATTTATGAATTTTTTTCATTTATTTTTTTAATGCTTAGATCTATTTAATAATAATTTATTACTTTATCTATCTTCTATTATTTATCTTAAGGTAATTTAAACTAATTATTAATTAATTGTATGAATCTATCCTAATATCCAAAATTATATAAATTGATTTCTCTAATCTTGTCATCATACTTCTCTAATTTTTACATAATCTCATCTCCTTTGCGAATCTGTTCAATTAAAGAATCCCTATTTTATTCTTTGGTTTCGTATTACTCTAATTCTGTTAACTCAAATTACTCTCGCCATAATCCCAACCATTGATACAGAGATCTTTATTGGTTCTAAGCTTTAAAATATTATGTTTCTTAGGTCCCATCATAATAATTGAAGAATCCATCTTGCAATTCTTTCTTGCCAAAAATTTCTATTTGACAATATACATTAATTCATTACTAAAGATTAAATTCTTGTACAACCATCCTTCTAAAGACTATGATGAGCACGAACTGTATTGAATCCTGTATTCTCAAATATAGTTCTTCCAAATCTTTTACATGGAGGATGAATAAAGTCTTTACTCATTTTAATAAATAAAATAACTCATTTCTATTGTTTTGCATCTTCGATTAAATTAATTCTTTTTTTGTATTACTCTACGCATTCTTTTATACATTCCTCTTCACTATTGATGAATTTGCTACTATTGAATGCATATACACACTTTTTAAAGCAGTTTTTAATTATATCCATAATTATATAATAAAATTAAAACTCATTATTATTTACTAATTTCTCGTAAGTATTTTCTTAATCTTTTCTATATAAATTTATATCAATATATTACATCTTCTTAATCTCTATCAATTTTGGTTTACTTAATTTATCCAACAGTAATATTCTCTCTTTCCTTCTTATATTATTCTAAATCATAAACATAGAATTAATAAACTTTATCAAATACTCTGTCTATATTTGATTAACTTACATAACTTCCAAATAAATGAAATACACTCATTGATAATGCACCTTTTTTCCATATTGAAATAGGCAATAACATAAAGAGACTTCCCATTAAAGCACCCCAACAATAAGCATTAATTCCTATTCTATTTCTACAATCTGCTAATTAAGCAACTAACATCATTCGATTTTATAATTAGAGTAATTCATTTAAATCCATCTCTTTATTACTCTTTCTCATTTCTTTACTAACATATTCAGCAATAACATTATTTTTTTCAAATACATATTTTATTACATTTTATTTATGTTTAAAACTAAATTCATATTATGGTATATATGTTCCACCGAAAATATTTGAAAGAAATTATTTAGTTTAATTTACCGCACTAGCATAGAAAGAATACATTTATCCTGTCTCTTCATCATAACTAGAAGGTTTATGTTTTATTAATTAAGGGCCGTCTACTGGTTTCTATTCTTCCTATTATTAAGATAACTCCATTTTTATTCTTTAACTTAATGTCATTGGCTTTCTACTCTTCTCCTTATCTTCCATAATTATATTCTTTATTAAATTATATAAATAGTATATATATAAATATTCATTAAATATAAACATCTATCCTATTCATTCAATTTTTCTTATGTTCATCTATTTTCTAATTTGTTTGTTAAAGGTATTAAGGGGAAACTATTTGGCTTAAATTATAAAGCTAATATTATTTTTATTTCTTCTTTTTTTGTTCCTCATAATAAGCCCAAACACTCACTATAATATCCAAAAGAAATTATGCAAAAACCAATCCTTATAATAACTTATATTAATTCATAATACTTAATGATATATCAGAACAGAATTTAAAAATTTATTCGGATTATTAATCGTGAACATATTCTATTTCTATCATTTTGATACTTTTATCAGTCTAAATTACTATTAGAAATCCTAATAATGAAAGTACTATTAAAGGTATTTAAATTCCAATTCTTACAAAGTAAAATAAAAAAGCAGTAACATATTATTTGCACTTTTATCCACAGGCTTCTGCAGCTGAAAATATACATCTACAAAATTCATTAATGATAATAACTATCATATAAATCCAATAAGCTACACTAATCAATATGAATAAAGATAATAAATTTATGGCCATTTCAATTTCATCAAATAGAGAACTAAAATTAATTATATTCATTGTTGGAAGAGAACTTTAAAAAACTAATTGAATATCTTATGAATAATTGAACAAAGGTCTAGTCTTCTAGAATGTATTATTTAAATCATTAAATTCTATAAATTCTTCAAATTTCAATTTAAATAAAGGATTGAAAGTTAAATCTAGTTTACATTCTTCCCATTATTATGAATTCATTATATAATCTTCACCTATACCTTAAGATAGTTTATTCCTATCTTAACAAATCCCTTATCCTCTTGTGATATTAAAATTTAGTAAATAATTATTTGAAGTATTTCTGGTTACAATTAAATAATTATCGTCTATTATTTGGGCTTAATCTATTTTCTCATAATTTTTAAGAATTTATTTATTTCTTTAAATATCCTTAATAGGACATTATTCTGTAATTTCAACACAAAAAAAATTTTATTCGTTATTTAAATCTTGGCATAATTTCAAGCCATTAGCTCTACAATCTTAAGGTAATTTTATATTAAGTTCCTTTAACATCTCAAAATTAATTTTAGTTCTTGAAGCACATAATTAAAATGGTTTCATTGATTCACTGTATCCCCAGTTATTTGTTACGATTGGATTTGAAGCGCTTAAGATTGAACATCCATTTTATGTTTAATTACATATTTCAAGGAAAAGTGTCTGGTTTTAATCTGGACAATAACATCCTGTTACAATTGAAGGAATTGTAAAATTAGTCATTACTATAGTATTGGATGGGCATTATGTTAATAAGCTTAAGTCATTGATTGGACCTAATTTTAACGTATCTTTAACATTCATAATTTGAACTTTATTATTTGTATATTCTGAAATTTTGGAAGCAGAAGTAATCCATTATACAATTAATAATGTAAATATTAGTAATGACTATATAATTCTTCTTATTCTTGAATTATTAGCCACTGGATTTTGACAACATCTTATACACATATCTCTACAAATAAAATTACCACAATCAAAATCTAAATTATTACAATCACAGCAATCTAGACAACAATTTTTACAATCAGTATATAAATCAGTACATTCTCCACAATCATTACAAATTCCTCCTAGATCTCCACAATCTCCACAGTCTCCACAATCTCCACAATTACAATCCATATCTCCCATCAAAATTGATGTTCAAATAATAATACTATAAATAAATTAAAAAAAACATAGATAAATTTACATTTATAAATGAAATTTATAAAGAAATGTTTGAAATATTAAAGGCTTCAATTATAATATTTAATTGGACATACATAGGTAGCTTTAGAATAAGAAAATAAAATATTTTGGACAGTATGTGAATTCATTAGAATGTTTTAAACAATTGCCTTAGTTTTACTCTATAAACATATCATTCGAATGCTTAATACTAACATTGAAATTGATAAACCATCTTCTAGTTTAGATAAGGTTGAACTATTATGTAGAATAACTATGCCTACTATTTTGATATAAGAATATTTGTCCTTGGAACAAATTATTTATTTCTAATTAATATTTTTAGCATCTCTATTTTTAATGTTGCTTATTAATGTAGTAGCATTAAGATTAGAGTATATACATTTTAAACAAATTAAATTTTAGAATAAAAAGACATTTAATAAAGTAGATGGAAACAGTTTTTGTAATTTATTAAATTATTTTTTAGAATCACTCAATCTTTTGAATAGTACATATAATAATAATGATTTTACAGAACATTTTCTATTAAAATAATTAATGGGCACAGATAATGGATCACTAATAGAATTATAATTACTTCGAACATCAATTTTAACGAACTATTTCACACATATTATGTTCCTTCCTTAAATTTATTGGGTGGCTATAATTTTTTATAGAATTCATAATCAAACCAATTACTCAATAGGATTATTTATTTTAAACTTTACACTTAATTCAATCTAATTACTTTTTCTTATAATCTTAGAAACATTATCTTTATACATGTAATAATCGTACAGACTTAAAGATACTAATTATTTAAGATTAAGAGTCACTACTTCCTTTAAAATAGGTTAAATGTTAAGAATTATTCCGACTCTAATTTATTTTGGTGTCCTCTATATTGTAGATCCTATTACAATATATAATGATTTAGTTTTTGAGCAAACCTTATCATGCTTTGGAATACTAAATTTAATATTCGACCTATAAGATTAATCTTTCAATATTCCATTCGTCTAACCATATAAAATATATGTATTTCATTTAGCATTTTCATTGGCTTTTTGTTTGTCATTTTTTAAATTGATTCAATTACATATTAATGACATAATAACTTTATCTTTGATGTTATCACCTTGTATGTGTAAAATGCTTAACTAATTGACAGATTTCAATTTTAAAAAAATTATTACTCATACACTTCATCCTGAAAATATTCCACCAAAATAAAAGATTTTGAAACGTCATTCTTAATCAATAACTAAATCATTAATTGTAAATGATGATGTTCATCAAATTGAAAGATAAATCTGTTTATAAAAATTAGAATAAGTGAGTATGATCAGACTTACAAATTACAAATATTTTCTTTAATTTTTAAGGTTATATGAATTACTTTCTATTAATTAATAACATGTCTATTAAACAACTGACCTTTTTAATCCAAATAAATCTAAATTTTTAATGTAATGCTTTATTTTAATTAAAACTCATATAGAACTTTGTAATAATCTGTATTGTTTTTGTCGAGGATATTGGGGAGAAAAAAAATAAACTCTCTCTTTAAATATGGAAAAATAAGATATGAAAGTATTCTCAGATTATACTTGCAGAGGCTTAACAATTTCAATCGATCTTATTGATAGATATATTAGATATTACATTAAACTAATTCTGAATATAGAAATTTATGTCACTCAACCTAATTTAACATATATAGCATAACTTCTTACTTTTCTTAGTAAATCAGAAGAATCCTTATAAACTTGGTTATAAGTTATGGAGGTTAAATTATAATTGCAAGAGTAAAAAAAGCCATTTGATGAAATCACTACTAATTTGATATTTAGTTATACTAAATATCAAACCTTATTTAGAGCCTAGTTTTAATTGAACGATTAAACTATTAAGAAGACTATCTTATATGGAGATTACAGGAATACAGAATTGCAGAGAATACTTTTTATATAGAAATTAATGTAAAGTTTGGATGTAAAAAAGAATTACTTAATTAAATTGGGCAATTCTAAATAATCATTTGAAGAAGTGCAATAACTTTATATCGAGTCCAATTCTCACTTTCTCTAACTTTAATTTGAATTACAGGAATTTCATTATCAATCATAATGCAGAACTTCTTGTTTACTTATGATGCTATATTATATAGAGATTAGATGTGATTACATACAATTTTCAAAATATAAAAATGTATATATTTGGTTTCCTAATTATTTTAGTAACTTAGAACAAAAGACATTAAGTTTTTTGAATTTCCAATTCTCTCAAATACTTCTCAAAATATTTGTTATCTAAAAGTAAATTTATCTAGATTTTCTAAACACAAATGCCGAGGAGAAATTTTAGGAAGATCAGAAAATTCATATCAATTTTTTGGTTTTGAATCTAAAGATGATTTTCTTCGTTAAAGAGTTACTGTTCATGAATTAGTTCCTCCTTTAATATCATCTGTACATAATACTATAATTGAATTATTTTTAATGAGTAATAGACCAAATGTAGTTAGAAAAGAACGCTACCTTATAGCAGAAAAGACTAATTAAGAAATAGTTTTTATTGAAATGTTTATTGATTTATGCTTTGTTATAACTGGTACTGAATTTCCTATATATTGTTTCATGTAAGAAATAAAACCAATAGGAATTTTCGAAAATATAAGAGGCCATATAATTATAGATGATTACGAAATCATCCAAGGCATAAGTTCCTTAGCTTATTAATCATTATTTCTAGATTCGCCAAGTGAGATTTGTAATAGAGAAATTTCTGAATTCTATGGAGATTTCACAGAAATTGCTTAAAAGCTTAATTAGATGATGGATGGCAAAACTAGTAGATATAGAGGTATGACATAATCAATAGTCAGTTAATAAGGATAATAATCAAAGGATACTAATTCAGTTTACAATCATTATAAATTGAAATTAGAAGATCAATTATTTATTATGAGTGAATAAGATAAATTCTTTATAGATATGACAGTTACTTTAGCTTATGGAATCATAAATGGAAAAATTTCAAAAGTATTGTTATTTAATTATATTATATTTTAAATAGTACTATGTAATTGAGTTTAATAAGGTTTAACAAATTGATATCACTGAAAATAATGACTCTAATAAAACCAACAGTTTGAAAAGTAGTATAAAGTAATCTCAATATACTCAAAGAACTAATACACTCTACGATATTTAAGATAATGAAAGGAGGAGTAGTGAAGGATCTATTAAATTATAAAAATATTCTTTTCCCTAAATTAATGAACAATGCATGACAGTCACTTAAAATCAAATGTAAATTTTAAAATAAGAATAATCTGATGATAAAATTAACATTTAACCAAAATAAATAAGAAAATCTAAATTTTTTAATTTTAAAGGAGTTGCAAGAAAACCTGATTCTAATGAATAATTTGATAATGATCATAATTCAGGATCTTCAAATCATATAGCTTCAGCAACATCTTAAAAGTAATAATTAGATCTTCAAAAATTTCTTTCAAAAGGAATGTAATATTAAGAATTTTCTAATTCTAATCATGAAAAAATCATTTTTGTATTACATTTAATAAATGCTTTAATTCTAGGAATTATTTTAGTTTTTATGTTGCTTTACTAATTGTAATTTAAAAATTAAGCAGAATCGATAATTCCAACTATATAAATTTTACAAGCTTTTATAACTACTGATTATACTGACAATATCTAATTGTCTTTAATGTAGAATAAATTATCAGAGTAAAATTTACAGGATTAATATTATTAACATTTATAGAGATTATTAGTAAAAGATGCAAAAAACTATTTGCTTTACCAAAAGAATTACTTTTTAAATTAATAGATTTAAAATGTTTTTAGTTAAACTGAAGTAAAGCATGAGAATGATTAGGATACAAGTGCTTGGAATGCAGCATTTTATATTTTATATAATTAACTTGACTTCATATAAGATCAGAACTAATATTAAAATAGTTAATTACCCACATATTTAAATCTACTCATTGATTTTCCATATCACAAATTAACCTATGAAAGCATTAATAAATAATTTAGTGAATATGTGATGTTATCTATTGATAATTTTTCTGAGTCTTAAAAAGCACTCATAATAATCCTTATCGTCTTGAGTGTTATTCTCTCATTTATCTCTTTAATTGTGTATCAAAATTATTTCAAATATATGAAAAAGATAACCAGATGTAGCGAATAAGTACAATTGGATGCTTTAGAATCAGAAATAAATATATGTGCCACGATTTTAACAAACAAATAAGTATGTACTTTCTATTATATTATCTATAGAAATTATGTCTTTATGATTATAAAATGGATTTTACTGCTAATTTTGAATTTCGTTAACATCAAGAAGGGCAAACTCATTTTTCTAGTTATAAAATAATTAATGGTTTATAAAACAATACAAAACGTTCTCTCAATTTTACAGATGGAATATCATTAAAAAGAGCTTTAAGCTTTTTATATCCTTTATTTTGCTTATCAATAGCATTAATTTATTTGGGATTGACATATTTAGATACAGAAAATATTATGTCTGGTTTATAAAAAGATATATTAATTTATAATCAAGGTATTAAATTTTAAGAATAATTTTCCCTATTATGCATTAGTAGTATATTGTAAGAGAACAAAGATTATATTTTGAAAAAGAATTACATCTAGGAAGATTAATTGCAAAAATATTATGACTTCATATAGCCTTCAATTAGTTAAGTTTAATTACTGAGTAAAAGCATTCGACTTCCAACAGGTATCAGGAGTACTGAAGTGATAGGTTCTTTATCTATTAATATCTGTACTATTTTTGAAGATTAGATAGATGTTCAATTGTGTGAAAAATTAGATTAAGGATTATTACAGAATGGAGTTTTGGAATCTACATAATTTTATATAATACAATATAGAAACAATTTTGAGCGTAATTATTAAGACAGCTTAGATTATAGTACACCTGAAGATATTGTTTCAATAAATTTCATTATTAAGGGAATCACAAATTATATAAACAAATCGAAATTACATTTAGAAATCTATATAGAAGATCAAATTGATATCAAGATGAATTGGTTTATCTTCATTTTTACTTTAACAATTATTTTGTAAATTATCCTATCATTGTTAATTACATCAAATTTAAAATTGAGATTACGTTCTTTAAAATAAATGATATATTTATTACCTAGAGATACATTATATGCAAATGATAGTTTTATGAAAACACTCAATTATGTGCAAAGACATCAAAATGATTTATGTTAATGATTTTATTTTATAATTAAATAATCTATTAACATTTTAATTTAATTTAAATATTGTTATGAATAAACCAAATTTTATATGAATACTAAAATAAATTCTATTAAAAAATGATTTTATAGATAATTCATTGCTATAATTGTACTAAAGAGATTATGTTTTGAGGAAATCATAATACTAGTCGAGGAAGGTGTCTTAATATCCCTCTATTAATCTTAGAGAATTTCATATTATTTTAGTTTAGAATTCAATAGCATTTATTTATTTATATTTTAATATGTGATTTGACGAGATAGACTGCTTTAACAATCAAAATTCTAAAGTCGATTACTTTATTTTGTTTTCGTGAATGTTTGTATATTAATCTAAAATTAATTTATAACATTAATAATTCTTTTCAAAAGTAGTACAACTAAATCTTAGTTACTCTCTCTTTCAAAATTCTTTTCTATAATTATTACATTTTTTAATCATTTTTTAAACTCTACTTATAGCTTTAATTTTTTTTATATTGAAAAAATAAAATCCATTAAGTTTAATTGATATTTAGATTTCTAAATTGAATATATATATTATTATTCTTTATCTTTCATTGGGATATTAATTTCTAATTGGTTTAAAAGTTCTTCAAAAATGACTAAATTTTTTATGTGTTTTTAAGTTCTTATTAATTCTTTTATTATTAATTTAATGCCTTTATTAATAATAATTTCTTACTAATCTCTCACATAATGGATAATTATTAAACAACTTGACTAAATCTTTATATGTGATTAAATAAAAAAAAATTCTTGTGATGTAACTTAAGCAGTATAAATTTTATAACAATTTTCAAAAATTCTACTTCATCAAATTATTACATTTTCGCATTGATCGTGTTTAAGAATAAAAATATTTTTTTTAGTTTTTACTGGATTTTTTAATTAATTTTGTCTTAACAATTGAAATTCTGATTAAACAGATAATTTGTTTGAAGTGAATATAGAAATTTTCAATAATTAAAACAAAATACATTCGTCATTATCAAAAATAAAAGTTTTTGCGAAATTATAAAATTTTGTTTAAATATTATCTTATAATAAGGTTCATTTTTATGTTATCAATTAGCTTTTTTAATTCAATAGGAACAAATCAGATGATTTAATGATAAGATACTATTTCTTTGATATAAAATTTCTTTTAATCAAGTAATTGTATTTCTTATGAGTCAAATTTCACTGGTTTTCTTTGCGTAGCATCAACTTAAAGTTCAATAATTAGAATTATGATCAGAAATAATTTTATTATTTGTATGTTCATGGCTAAAATTATACTAAATCTTAAATACTGAATTTTTCTTGAGAATCTATAATAAATTTATAAGTATAATGATTATTAGGATAATGAAACTTTTCAAATTTATATTAACTTTTTACAAATTAGACTAAGCAATTTAATTTTTTTCTAATTTTTCTTTAGTAATATTTACTTAATTAACCTTCTAAAATAGTCTTATAATCATTTTTAGTAAGTGCAGCTACAAAAAAGAAGTCTTAGCAATTACAGTACAAGTAAGAGCTTATTCAATCATAAGTCCTCTTTCTCCAAATATCTAGCTATCATGTTTCTAAGCTACTAATTCATGGAAAAAGACTAATCCATAAAAGAACTTGCTAAGAGTTTTTTATTTGATTCTCTTCGAATTCTATATCTGATTGGATTCTCTCTTACTTCTTACGTACATAAATATTCAGACTTCTATCTATAATGATGAAGAATTCATTCGATTAAACCTTTTTTTGCATAAATCATTGATGAAAACCTTTTTTAATACAATATCATTTTTCTTGTGATTTATGTATAACATTATTTTACAACATATCTAAACTTTCTCTTAAACTTTAAAAAAAATCAAAATCTATTTTGCTTATTTAAAAACTGCTTCTAAATCCATTTTATCATCTGGATCAATTTTTAATATAAATAATGCTACTTTTAATTATATTGTTGCATCCTTCTTTTTTAAAATGATTATCACAATTTTTAATAAGTGTTTTGATTGCAATTTCTTGCATTTATGAATTCATCTGTTGAAATAACTACATCTATTTTATACAATAAAAATTAATAAAAAATTTAATTCTAATGGATATACAAGAACAATTAAATGAAAAAGATTAAGCAATTAAAATATTAGAATAAGAAAGAGATACTTTAATATAAAATGCTAATGAATTAAAAAATAATCAAATCCTATTAGAAAAGGAAATTGATAGATAAAAAAGCAATATTTCGAATTACGAGGCTGAACTAATTGAATTACATAAGGAGAGAAAATCTTGTGATGAATAATTTCAAAAGTCGTAAATTTAAATAGAATCTTATGAACAATAGATAACTCTACTTAATGAAGATCTTAAAAAAGTCACCATCTAATGTGATGAGGCCTTATAATAACTATAATAAATTTAAAGTAGACATGATATTGAAATTAAAACACTTACTGATTAATTGATGAATGAAAAAGAGAAAAATAATGAAATCATCGAAGAAAATCTACTTAATATCAATAATAAATAAACTTAAATTGATTTGTTAAACTAAAAACTCAATAAATTCGAATAATAACTTCAAAATAATCTTACTAATTATTAAATTAATGTTGAGCATCTAAATAAGCAAATTGAAATAACAAAATTAGAAAAAGATGAAGAATTACAATAAACTGTTAAATAATTGAAGAATGAAATTGATGATTTAAATAAAGCATTATATGAAAAAGAATAAAATAACAAATTTCAATTACAAATTGATGAATTAAATTAATAAATCATTTAGAAAGAATAATAATACATCAATCAATCTGAAATTCAAGAAGATTAAATGAAGCAATTACAAATTTAAATTTAGATTCTTAATGCTTAGATTAATGAATTATAATAAAAAAATGAAAACTAACATTTAGAATTAGCTAAACTTTAGTAAGAATTAACTTAAAAAAATGAAAGTTGCTAAACACTTACAAATTAATTAGATTAAATACAATAATAACTATAATAAAAATAATAATAATAATAATAAAAATAGTCTTAATAGTAAAATTAAAATAGTAATAATCTTTAAAATTAAAATAATAACACTGCAGAAAAAATGGTTACAATTCCAATGAAGGAATTATTAACCTGGGATAAAAGATCAAAAGATCAATAAAATTAAATAAAGGCATTGTCAAATGAAATTTAATTATTGAAAAATTAATAAGAAGAATAATAAAAATTACAGAATTCTAAATAAATGAAATCAAATCTTTCAATAGAAGGAATGGTTTAAAAATGTACAGCTTTATAATAAATTATTGATGAAACAAGTCAGCAAAATTCAAAAATTACATAAGAACTACATACTTACAAATTATAAAATTAGTAACTTAGAGAAGACTTATAAAATATCTAACAAGAACTAAAAGAGTTAAGAGTAATAGCTTAAGATAAATTTAGATTGGAAGGAGAATTGGCCTCTGCAAATATACAAATTTCAGAAAACAAAGATTTGATGAAAGTATTATAAATATATGAATAAAATAGAAATTAAACGAGCTTTCATCCAATTTTGAAAATAAGGAAGAATAACTTGAAACAACAAAAAAAAATTTAAGATAAAGTGAGCAACTAAGAAATAATGTATATCCAGTCATTTATTTTAGCTTCAAACAAAGTTGGATGAAATTACAATATTATATTAGAAGACTACATAAGAATTAACAAATGTAAAATAGGAGAGAGATTAAAAAATAACAAAGTTAAAGGATTTAGAAAAACTTATATAATCATAATTTCAAGAATATTCGCATTTGGAATAAAAATATAAAGATTCATAAATTAATTGTGAAGATATGTAAAGTTAAGTTAAAATTTTGTAAAAGAAGTATTCTCATGTAAATTATTTTTTTATTAAATCAGGAAACAGAATAATTAAAAGATGATTGTCTTTAAAAATAAAAATTAATATAAGCTTTAGAAGAATCAAATAAAAGTTTAACAAATGATCTTCTTGCTTTAAGAGAATTATAATTTAGGTAAAAGACCCCTGAAGCTCCTTTGACAAAGAAAGAAAGAATTGTAGTTGAATCTCTTTCATTAAGAGTACAAGAACTTGAATTGGAAAATAGAAAAACAAGGGATGCTTTATGTGCTAAAATCGTTTAATTATAAAATGAATTAGATTAGAAAACAAATTACATAAATCTGATTGCTAATTAAATATCAAAATAATTCCCTTCTTTATCAGAATAAGATCTTTTGGATAAGGAGGATATAAAAATGATCTAACAGTTAAAAAAAAAACTTAATATTCAAGAAATATTAGAAGTATCAAATATTCTAAAAAATAGAAAACTCTTATTGAAAATTTGTAGCTTAGAGATTAGATTAAACTTTTGGGAACTGAAATCAATAAAAGAAAATGACTCTTTTTATGTTTTATATTAAAATAAATAATTAAAAATTAAAATGTATATTAAATTTTTTTCTTTTTAATAGTTTAGTTCTCTCTTCCAAACTGGAAATTTGATGCTTGGAATAATATGATATTAATATTAATAAAAGGTTTTCATCTTGCATATTTTTATAATATATCTCAAAAAAACACAATGCTTATTTTGAAGAGCAGATATTGACATTTTATCATATTTACTAAATCTAAAAACTCAAATTTATTTTCAAAATAATTGATTAATGCCTGGTTTCTATAAATTTCTATAAATTTCTATATTCGTAAAAAAATATTATCTTTTTGAGAATTAACATTTTTTTGTTAAATTTTTATTTAAACTTAGAATAATTAGCTCATTCTAATAAATTTATGTATCGTAATAGTAAACGCAAAGTATCTAAAAATAAATATTAACTAAGCAATACCTAGTCACGATTTATATTTAGATATAAATTGATTATAATATTGATTGGTTATTTTAATAATAGTATTTATAATATAAATTAATTAAATAATTTATTTTGAACCGAAAAAGAAGTGTTACTAGTAAATTATTGAAGCCAATATTTTCAAAATTATATAATTTGCATAATCCTTAAGCTTATGAACTTCTACACCCTTGAATTTGAAGATTAAGTATTTGAGGGTATTTAATATTCCAATAATTAGATTTAAGAGAGGAAGAGTAGATATAAGTTAATGAAGAGCAAATATATGATTATTATTAAAATTCTTACTTCGAATTAGATTAGAATTAAACATTTCTTGGATATTTACAAGAGGAACCAATATTAATCTTTGATTGCATAGAAGAAGTGCCAAAAAATAAACCAAATTCAATAGTGAAAAAATCAAAAAAAATAAAAAAATCTGACACAGAAACTGATGTTCAGAAGCGTAAATCCAATAAACTAAAAATATCGAATAATGTAACAGCTCAACTTTAGTAATGTTAAATGTTAAAAACAATTATTTCTTAAATGGAGGATATGTTGTAATAAACAAAAAGATATATTCTTAATTAATTTCAATAAAAATAAAAACAAGAATGTTTTAAAATTTGAATTATTTTTCACAGAGCCCCAAGCCTATATTTAAATAAAGATATTTAAAAATCAAATTATTTCTCTTTCAAAATTATAGAGTTTTTATTTTTAATCTTCTTTTTATTCTTCTTTTAATGATAATTTTCTAACACAATATTATCAATTAATGTTTTAGATACTATTAGAAAAATATGAAAGAATGAAATTGGGACATTTATTATTATTAAAAATTTTATTATTCAAATTTTATCATATAAAAAATCAATTAAATTCTATCAATTAATTTGTATATTGAATAGAATGAAAAGAATACTTAAATTTTAAATGTATTTTGCTTTATGATTATTTTAGTTAAGAANATACCTAGTCACGATTTATATTTAGATATAAATTGATTATAATATTGATTGGTTATTTTAATAATAGTATTTATAATATAAATTAATTAAATAATTTATTTTGAACCGAAAAAGAAGTGTTACTAGTAAATTATTGAAGCCAATATTTTCAAAATTATATAATTTGCATAATCCTTAAGCTTATGAACTTCTACACCCTTGAATTTGAAGATTAAGTATTTGAGGGTATTTAATATTCCAATAATTAGATTTAAGAGAGGAAGAGTAGATATAAGTTAATGAAGAGCAAATATATGATTATTATTAAAATTCTTACTTCGAATTAGATTAGAATTAAACATTTCTTGGATATTTACAAGAGGAACCAATATTAATCTTTGATTGCATAGAAGAAGTGCCAAAAAATAAACCAAATTCAATAGTGAAAAAATCAAAAAAAATAAAAAAATCTGACACAGAAACTGATGTTCAGAAGCGTAAATCCAATAAACTAAAAATATCGAATAATGTAACAGCTCAACTTTAGTAATGTTAAATGTTAAAAACAATTATTTCTTAAATGGAGGATATGTTGTAATAAACAAAAAGATATATTCTTAATTAATTTCAATAAAAATAAAAACAAGAATGTTTTAAAATTTGAATTATTTTTCACAGAGCCCCAAGCCTATATTTAAATAAAGATATTTAAAAATCAAATTATTTCTCTTTCAAAATTATAGAGTTTTTATTTTTAATCTTCTTTTTATTCTTCTTTTAATGATAATTTTCTAACACAATATTATCAATTAATGTTTTAGATACTATTAGAAAAATATGAAAGAATGAAATTGGGACATTTATTATTATTAAAAATTTTATTATTCAAATTTTATCATATAAAAAATCAATTAAATTCTATCAATTAATTTGTATATTGAATAGAATGAAAAGAATACTTAAATTTTAAATGTATTTTGCTTTATGATTATTTTAGTTAAGAATTAGTTTATTTAGTTAGATTATTAGGGTATATATAATTTTGGTAATTATCAAATTTTTAATTCAATAATTTTAGAAAAATAAGAAAGAGTATATAGAAAATAATCTAAAGTATTTAGTTTGGAGAATAAATATATATATAATTTGAAGAAGTAAATTTATAAATATAAATGACAGAGGAAATTGTAAATTTGTTTGTAACAAAATATGGATCTGGTGATATATAAAAGAATTAATTGCTTTAGTAATCAATATAAAAGGTCTTACTTAAGGAGGGAGCAAATTCTTAAGTCTTAACAAAATTAAGAAAGAAACTTGGTTAATCTTAATCGCAATAATAATTTTTTCCAGTTTTGGGAAATGGAGAATGTGGATAATCAACAAAGGCTCCAATAGATTCATAAAGAAAAACATTTGATGGTTTCACAAAACGTGTGTAACCATTTTAAAGAACTTACTTATAATCATTTGATTAAATATCTGAAACTTCTGAGAAAGCACCAAAATCAATTTATTATGTAGATAGATAAGATGTATAATATTTTGACGTAATTATAGGAAGATGAATGGGCTGCATTAATGAAATTTGATGCGTAACTGTATTAAAAGGAATAGGAGAGAAAGAAAGAATTACTTTAATAAAAGAAAGCTTAAATGAAGAAGGAGTTGGATATGTAGTTGAAAATAAAATAGGAGAGAAAAGAGAGAGAGAAGGATTTAGAAGAGAAATATAATAATTTTTAAAGTGATTTATTGTAAAAGAAAAATGAGTAAGAATAAGAAAAATAGATATCAGCAAAAAATAAATTATTGTAATTGTAATCAGAGAGAGATGTTTAGTTAAATAATAAAAAAAAGAAATAGCATAGTGAGGATAGAGAGTTACGAAATTACAAAAAAGAAATAAGTTAAAGATATTAGGATGAATTGTAGAGATAAATTGATGAAGAAAATAGAATAAAATTAATGAAGAGAGAATATATGTTTAAAGTAATGAAATAATCAGAAACAGATAAAATGGTAATTTAGTAAAAGTAGAAAGAATAAGAGAGATTAGAGTAGGCAAATTGTGAGAAGTAAGGATTTTGAATTAATTTATAAATAGATATGGAGAATTACTTGATTAAATAGAATAAAGAAGAATTGAAGAAAATAGAAAAAAGAAAGAAAAAGTTGATAAAAATAATGCTTGGAGTGAATCATAATTATTAAGATATAAATTAGAAAAAGAGGATGATCATAAAATGTAGTATTGGAAAACAATAGAAGAATAGAAGTTTTTAGAGGAAGAATAAAAGAAGAAAAATAGAGTGAATGAACTTAAATAGAAAACAATTTAATCATTAGAATAATCAATAAAACTTAAATAAATAAAGAAATTATAAGAGAAAGAATTAGATAATTTATAAGGTTAGGTATGGAAATAAGATACAGAAAGATTCTTTTAAGAAGAATAAGATAAATTGGATTAAATAAAAAAAGTGAAAATAGAACATAAGAAAATACTGTAAAAATAGATGTAAGATAAAATAAAACCTGAAAGAGGAGAAAAGATGAGTATTCCAGAGCTTTTATAGAACAAAGCAATTTTAAAAACAATTAAAGAGAAGGATATTTATGATTTAGAGAAAACAGTTGTTTGATTTATGGATTAAATATGTTATTATATTAATTAAATTTATATTTGATACTAATTTAGAATGTAAAATATATATATAAATATAATATAAATATATTATTAATATTTTTAATTTTTTATGCTTTCGACATAAGTTTTCAATTCATTTGCTTAAAGATAAAGTAATGGGATAATAAAGTTATTGGCATATGGAGTATTCTTTGGAGGTGCATATGGTTGTGCATGGCATTAATGGAAGGGTGCTTAATAAAAATAATTATACGAGAAGGTAGAGAATGAGATAACAGAATGGAAACCAGTAACAATAAATGGATTGAATGCTTCAAGATATCCATGGGCTAGTAATATAAGATAATGGGAATATAGATTAGTGAAATTATATGGATATTTCAGAGTATGAAATTGGATAGTTATAATATTATAGGATGAAAGATTTTTTGTAAGAAGAGAAAGAGAGGGAAGAGATGGTTTTTTAGTATTTGCACCATTTGTAACAGCCTTATAATTTAATGACACAGAATAAGATCCAGAATAAACAACTAAATCATAAGTAATGGTAAATTTAGGTTGGGTACCTAAAGATAATATAAGTGATATTTAAATGGGTTAAGAACCTATTGGAACAACAGTAATTAATTAAATAATAAATTAGACATATGAAAATGTTCCACATAATGAAGATGATGATTAATTAACAGGATTCAATAGAAATGTATTAAATATGGAAGAAGATTATTAAATGCCATTTGTTGAATTTGTTGGCATGGTAAGAAGAGGAGAAGAAGAAGATGTTTTAAAAGGACGTAGAAATTGGCCAAGAGAAGGAGTATATAATTATATTGATTTGTGGTTCATGTCAAGATTATATAGATCATTCAATTTGGTATGATTTATCTAATAAACTTATATAGACAGATTGTTCATCTGCATATATTGAAAGATTAGTATAAGAATATGATGAAGAATCAGCTAATTTATATCCTATTCCTGCTACTAAAGACAACTTTGATAAACCATTGCCTACTCCATAAACACATTAAGCATATTCATTATTTTTTGGACTATCTTCTATTATGTCGTTAGCATTATTAGCCATAAGAAGATGATTTATTCAATATAGTATATAAAACAAAATATATCACCCTTAAACATATTAATTTAAATTTAATTAATTAACTACTATTTTATGCCTCATTATCCTGAAGAAATTGAATATTCTGATAAATATCAAGATGATTTCTATGAATATCGACATGTTATTTTACCAAAGCACATATTCAAAAAATTAACAAAAGGTATTAAATTATATAAATAAATCAGGTAAATTACTTAATGAAATGGAATGGAGAGGTTTAGGAGTTTAACAATCTAGAGGATGGATTCATTATGAATGTCATAGACCTGAACCTCATATTTTACTATTTAGAAGACCTAAAGGAACTGATCCAAACACTGGATTACCTCCTTAAGGATTTTCTGCACCTTATTGATTTAGTTTAAATTATCTATAAAAACTATCTTTTTATCTTCTTATCACTTCAAATTTTTAATTAGAAAATTATTATTTTTATTTCTTCAATTTTTTTTAACACTGCTCCATAAATTTCTCTCTTCTTTCATTTTATTATAATTACATTTTTATATTTATATATTATTATTAAATATTTCTATTTATACCTTTGTATTAAAGATCTATTAAAGAATCTTTAATTTCAAATCTATAAATTATTTCATGAGATTTAATACAAATACTATACAATATTATTAACTCAATTAATTTTTCCACTAATCAATTAAGTTGTTACGCCACTTTTTCTTTAACGTACAGGAGACATACTGGTGAATCCAACTTTCTAACTACTATTATATATGAAAAAGTCTAAATATGGATTTGGATCCTACTCATTTAATTAAAATATAAATTGATTTAAGTCTTCATATATTTTAAATTATATCTTTGTTTTAGATATAGCATTTCTAAATGAAAGTGGATCAGGAATATGTTTCAAATTTTTATCTTAGAATTCTATTTGATTATTAGGACCAATTTATGAAATTAAATACTAAGCTAATGGAAGACCCAATGTACTAAAAGGTTCTGTACTTCCATCTAAATAAACCCCTATTTTCTATTATTGTTATTATAAAGTTTAATCAAGTTCAAGATAGGGCATTTAACTTTAAGTTACTTTTTTTGTTGTAACATTGATATTATGAAATTAATCACTCAAATTTTATATGTTTTCATAATAATGATTTACACCCCAATTTCTATTTTTGTGATCTGTAAATGTAGCTGCTTTCTTTAAAGCCTCTTAAATTTTATTTGGAATATTCAAAAGTTGATGTTACATCGTAATTAATAAACATGCTGGATTCGAATGAATTCTTTTAAATTTTATTTAAATTGGAAAACCTAATGGATGTATTTCATAAAGTTATTTCTCATCATTCGTATTTATTGCAAGCATTAATCTTATAAACTCAGAAATACTCAATATAACTGAAATCATTTTAGATCTATCTGTCTTTAAACAAATATCAAATAATAATTATTTGTTTGAAAATTTTAAATCTTCTTTTAATTAATTGATTAAATCTATTAAATTAAATTAGTTGACATTATATTTTAATTTATTATAGATAATTTTAGTAATATTCAAAATGTTTAAACTTTGATTAAATAATATATAACTATTACTAATTTAATTATTGATATGATATAATTATTATGAATTTGCTGATTATTTAAAGAATTTTAATAGATTAATTTAATCTTTGATATAATTTAAGCACATTTTACTATGATTGACAAGTTATTAATCTCTCCATTTTAATTAATGAGTGAAAAAATCAAATAAATCACCTCCTTCTTCAATGAATAATAATAAAATGGTAGGTTCTATAGTATTAAAATAGATTTTAGTAATTTGAAATTACCATTTTTTATCATTATTATTGAATCTTCCAACAAATTTAGTTATTTAATTATTTGATTATTTTTAGAGAAGATCTTTAATTAAGACATCTTCAAAATTAAAAGCTTTTTGATTGATACCTTCTAATGGTTAGATATTGGAATCTCTTAAGAATTCTCTAAATTTTTGATCTGAATTTAAATTAAATGTTTCTTTCATAACCTTATTTATTTTGTCCATTTTTAACTGAGCTTATTTGTTATCATATTTAACAAGTACAACCCATGCTGGTAGTTGTTCTTCAATCAAATTCTCATAAAGAATTTAAGACCTAAAAGCTAAGTAATGTTAACGTCGTTTCATTTCTGTCTGATAACGGAGGAAAATAAAATAAATACATAATAGACTATAAGTAATGAGAGGTACTAATTATTATTAGAGAAATGACATTTCAGCAGCTTAACTAAATAGAAATATTACTGATTGTGTAATAAATTTATTGCCTTACAAATAGAGACCTTTAGAATAATATAAAAGTATTACATAATTTAGCAGCACCCACTTCCAAATAGAGAGTTTAACCATAGTTCAACCATATGTAAATATCAATTAATATACTCACAATGATCAAATTTAAGCTTTTTATATACTCTCTTTGCATAGGGTATCTTCTAAAAAAGAAAAGCATGGTTAATTCAATACAGAGTGTGACTGATGTTGTAATTAAGTAGATAATGTTCTGAGTGTAATTGATTAGGTTGAGTATCAAATATATTGAGAAGGTAGACAATGTTATTTCATACATTATTTGATTTTAATCAATGATCCAAAGCTTAAAAGATTATTCGAGTTCAAATGAATTAAATGTTAATGTATACTTTTTAATCATAATAATATTAATAATAATTTTAATATTTAAAGTTAGTTATATGATTATTTATGAGATAATAAATAAATTATTCATCAGTTAACAAGAACTTATTAATTTAAGTATATTAAATATTATAATATATTTGTTATCAATATTATATATTCGTAAAGAAATTAATCTAGAAGATTTATTAAAATGACGATTTACATCTGATAAAATATGATAGATAAGAATTATTTAAGGTTTTCTTCACTAAACTTAAGAATTATTATATAAACTCAAGATGTTTTTACTTTTGTTTTCACTAAATATAGTGATAAAATCTACTACGATCATAGAACTTATAGAAGGAGCTCCTTGGATTCCAAATAATTGGATTGCTGATGATCTAGCAATTTATGAAACTTAATACATTTGTAATGATCTTAACGGACCATATCTTGGATTAATAGGTAAAAACCTACACAAATAATTGTCTGATTTAGGAGCTCATAGTGAATTATACATCTCTTTGGATATATTATTCACAGGTAAGTGGGAGACTCCTAATAACTTTAAAATTAATATCGACTCTACTAACATTTATTCTGAAAGTGCTATATCTTCAAGTACCTTCTAAGTATCAAGTACATACTGTAAATCAAATATAATTGAGTAATATTTTTGATATATATAAAGTACTGTTGCCACTCAATAAAAGTTAATCACAATTTACGAGAGTATTTCTCATTCTAAAAGAAATCCTTTAATTGAAATAAAAGGATCTTTCGATTGTTTGGGTATTGATATCTGTTAAATGGTATCTATAAAGAATTTAGTGATATTTGCAACAGAATGTCATTTCAGTTGTAAAACTTGTTCTGGACCCAATATAGATTAATGTTTAAGTTGTCCTTTTGGTTCTATAGATTCTGGTAGATGTTATTGTTAATCTGGACTTTACTAATATGATAATAAATGTGTTCTATAATGTCCATAATACTACATTGCTAATCTAGATAATTAGTGTTTAATACAATGTTCATTAAATTGTAAAATATGTGGAAATAATTCATGTAATTAATGTGAAAAAGGTTACCTTATACATTTAGGCAAATGTGTAAAAGAATGTCCTAGTAATAGTTAATTTGATAATATTAATACATGTGTAGACTATTTGGAAATGAAATAATATGGTATTTATTTATGAATATATAATTTTAGGATCTGAATATTTAGGAAATTATTTCAATAGTTTAGATACTAATTATTACTTATAAGTGAATAAATTTGAATTTTCATAATCTTTCGCATATTCTCTATAGACTTAATAAAAATATTCAATTTACAAAGAGAAATTATTTTTAGGTGGTTTTGGAGTTTGGAGTGAAGGATATTTTAGTATTAGTTTTTATGGTCTAAATTCACATAATCATTTAAGAATATATTTAGAAGTATGGTTTATAGATAAATGGTTAAATGAAAATTTTCAGATTGTTGTTGATGGTATAATTGTTTATGAAAAAAACGTCAAAAATATAGATTCAAATTTATTTTATGGATCCTACCCTGATTCAATTGAATATATTGAACTGGATATTATACACATTTCTAATGATGTTAATATACGATTTATATCAAATTTAATGAAGTCTCCTTTTGAAGGTAGTGTAGGTATAACAAATTTACATATATTAATTGATTATTGTGATTTTAATTGTGTTTTATGTACTAATAGTTAATGTTCATAATGTGAATCAGGTTATTAATTAGTTAATAATAAATGTGCTAAATGTGATAGCACTTATAATAGAAAATCAGATTGTACTTGTTTAGATGGTTATTATGAAAATAACTAAGCTAAATGTATGCAATGTAGATCAGAATGTTAGAATTGTTTAGATCTAGATACATGTTTAGATTGTAAATTAGGATCTCATTTAATTAAATAACCATTATGTTAATCTTGTGAAAATGGATATTATTATAATGATGCAATGTGCCTTACTTGTCAATATAATTGTTAAACATGCACAACCTATAACAGTTGTGTGTAATGTGCAAATGGATTCGTGAATCCGCCATAATGTTAATGTCAAAATGGTATCTATATTTTAATTAATTCTAATAGGGTATTTTGAAGACTCATCAAATTAATGTTAAAAATGTAGTTAATAATGTCAAACTTGCATTCAATATGGAGATCTTTGTACATCCTGTTCTGGTAATAGAATATCATTACCTGATTGTTCTTGTCCAAACTATTCAATTCAAATTGAAAACTCTATCTGGTGTACAAGTAACCAAATTAAATATAACCTTTTAGCTTGTAGTATTGCCAGTCTAACTATTTCATTAAATTATGATTCCACTATTTTAATTATCAATTTTGTGTGGAATATCAAAGATTTATATACAAATTGCAATCATCTGTTTAAGTCATAAACTCTTGAGTTGTTTGGTAAAAATCCTTTATGTTTTAAAGAGAATAATAAGATTAATGTAAAGTTAGGATTAAAAGCTAATTTAAAATCTGGTGATCTCATTGAATTTAATCCCAATATTATTCAATTCGAAAAATGCTCTACTAATATCTAAGCTTTTTATAATAATGAATTTAGGATTATTGGATAAGCTGATTAAGTTAAAGATAAGATATAATTCCTTTAAAATAGAATTTATCTATCACGTTGTCAAAAACAGAATCTATTACTCTCATTTTTGAATTTGAATAATTTCTAATTATTATCCTGGAATTTGATATGGTTTCAAAAATAAGATCTTAAATTAAATGATTTTATGGATTTTTTAAATTAATAAATTAAATCCAATCCTTTTACTTAATATTTTACATTTACTGGAAATATCTTAGAAGAAGAAAATGAAATAATAATAGAACTTCAATATGCAAATTTGGCTAATTAAATTTACTAGTCATAGTTGATTATAGTTTAAGAATTTGGTAAAATCACAACCGAAATTATTTATTAATAAACACCTTTTTAATTAAAGTAAGAAATTCAAATTTCAATAAATTCATATAATTGTCCATCATAAATGTTTCAAAATAATGATAGAGTTAATTATCTAATATAATTAGACGGTTAATTGTATTCATAAGAAAATTTTATTGGATAGTACTATATTTTTACTCTTAAACCATATTCTTTAAAAGTAGGAGTATATAATCTTAACATTAAAACACTTTTATAGGATAGGATAATTAATGAATAAATAATTAATTTACAAATAGTGGATAATATTGAAAGATTAATATTGAAATCAACAAGTCTATCTTTTTATTATAGAGAATAGATAAATTTAGAGGCTTATGTAACAAATGGTTTAGGGAATGAGAAATTTGTTTGGGAATGTTTTGATGTTATAGATAATGAATTATGTAAAAGGAATAATGAAATTTTAAATATGGGTTATGAGAGTAAGGTTATTATTCCTGCAGATACTTTCAATCCATTTTAGACAATTTTAATATCAGTGGCATATAGATATATGAAGGAACAAATATAATTGTAGATAGTTGAAACAGAAGTACCAAAATTAGATTATGAAACAGACTTAGATATTTATTCAGGATATATTAATTTTTATGATCAGATAAATATTAAGTTAAGATTTATAGATGAGAATGTGAATCCAGATACTTTAAAATATATAGGATTGTTATATACAAATGAGAGAATTATATCTCAATTTAATTTTGATTATTTGGAATTTAGTATGAAAATTTGGGATTACTTGAGATTGAATGATTTATCAGAGAAATTGACATTAAAAATTACTGTTCACAATCCAAATTTCTTTTAGCCTTCTACTATATTAATGAATTTATATATAAATATACCTCCTAGATAATGTATAGTTGATATATAGCCATAAATTGGTTTATCACTTTTAACAGATTTTACAATTTCAACAAAAGGTTGTTTTGATGTAAATTAATTTCTATAATACAGAATACTTTTATATTAGAATATTTCTGATTTAAATTATGATAATTCTATAGGATAATTGTATAAAGGAGTTGTATTGAATCCTTATTAATATGATCCTGTTTACACAACTAAGTTGGTAGGAAAGGGTGAAACTTATTTAGTTGTATAAGTGAAGGATATTTTGAATGGTATCAGTAATTTTACAAAAAGTGTAAATGTAACATCAACTTAGACAGATTAAGTTTAATCAATGACATTTGGTTAATCAGATTTAAAATCTTCTATTTTATTTATGTTGAATTCTGAAAATAACAATGAATCATTCCCTTAATAATAAAATGATAAAACACTTTAAAGCACATTATAATAAAGTGAATGTAATTGTGAATTTGATGTGAATTAGCACTTATATCTTAAAAGATTAGTGGTTCAGTAGAGTTAATCTTTAACATATGATTAAATAAATTAAGAAATAGATAAATCAAAAATTAGACTTAATGAGATTGAATAGCTAATGAAATAATAGATTAAAGTAACTGATAACAGTTATGATCAATCATAGTAATTAATATAAAATGTGTTTTTACATGAAGAGGTCTTAGGATATGTATAATACATTTCTGAGTTATTTAATAAAAATTAGATATCTACTTAGTTTAGAAGAAGATTGATTGAAAACTAAAATACAATTAAAGCTAATAATCATTAAATAGTAGATTCCCTCAATATCATTACATAAATTTAATTGAATTAATAAAAGATTAATAGTAAGAGAATATCTATACAGACTAACGGATTTAATCTAACTACGTAAAGAGTTACATCTAAATAATTATAATCAGCAATAGGAAATGTTTTAACACCATCTGAATAATATGTAGATGATGAATAAATTGATAATTAGTAAGATTAAAATACAACCATTTTTTAGTATTAATTAATAAAGTATACTTCTAATCCTTATCTTTATGATGATGATTTTATGGAGATCAATAAAAATCATACTAATTAAATTCTTTATGATCCAAAAGTAATATTTGAAGAAAATCAAACTTAATTAATTGATGTTAAGTCTAATTTAGTTTATGAATTTCCAAAAAAGAGTGAAAAATAATAATTTTATGAATGTGTAATGAAATTAGAAGATTCATGGAGTTTAGATGCTTGTAAAACTATTGAATAAGAATTTAAGACTATTTGTTAATGTTAAAAAATATCTATGATAACTCTAATTGAAGCAATGTAATAATTAGCAGATGAATTATCTTAATTCTTTTCAAAGGATACAATTAATTTAATAAACAAATGTCATTATGAATTAATGTTATTTACTTATATAGTAATGTTATTTACATTAATTTTCATAATATTTTTAAAAATAGGACATAAATTGGATTAATAGAAATAGAATTCAGGATCATTTTATTCGGCTAAAGTTATGCCATAATCTTGGGAAGATTTTCCAGATAAAGAAAGAGCTGGTAGTATAGATGAATTAGCATAATTAGAATAATAAGAAGGTTAACGTTAAATAAAATAAGCTAATTATCATACTAAAACAAGTAGTATTAAAATTTAAAATACCAAACCTTCTCAAGAATTTATGTAAAATCGTTAAATAGATTCTGCATGTTCAAGTAAACGTAGCATGGCTATAGATTCAAATGGACATTCTGGAAAGGCTATCGAAGAAACAGAAGGAAATTAATTATCTGGCACACCTATTTTAGATGAACAAAAAGAATAAAACTCTCCTAAAAGAGAGGATTCAATCTTTAACTCTATTCATAATAAATAAGTCAAATTTCATTAAGGATTCTATCTTTATTTCAAAGTAGATATTATTATTTATATTTAGATTAATCATGTTCTACTAAGTCTCTATTATCTATATAATGAATAATAATCTAGAGTATATAGAACAATTATTGTTTATATGTCAATCATCGGCGAAATTTGTATTCTAACATTCTTTGGAGAAGTATATATCATTAATTAAAAATTTTAGATAATTAGTTTAAATACAATTATAGCTTTGTCTATATTACAATCCATATTTGGATTACTCTTTTGTAAATTGTTTTCATTCCTCATTCATAATACAATTAAGTTTTTTAAGATTATAGGATTCACTTTAATTTTATTTGCTGTTTCATTTTTCTATTTCATTTTACTTGGAAGTTTGGCTCGTTATAAGTCTATATAAGAATCCTAATATTGGGCATTAGCTTATTTAACAAGTTTTATCTTGAATTACATGATATATTCTCTTTTAGTTTAATTTGCCATGTTCTCATTTTTGAACCAGTTTTAAAACTAAGAGAGAGTCAAAGTAATAATTTATAGTATTATTTTATAGAAACTTATGAAATATATACTTGAAGAAAAGGTTTACCAAGAATTATATGGGAAATCATGATTTATTTATAAGAACTTTATAAGAATAATAATTAATATAATTTTATGAATAGAAACATTCCAATAGGGAACAAAATATGTGCAACAAAAGAAATATTCTAGAACTAAGTAATTTTAAATACTCATCTTCTTACTATGAGACCTTAAATTAATACAAGTGCTCCTAAATAATATGATTTTCTTAAAAATAAAAAGATTAAAGAAGCTATCAAATCATAAAAGTAATAAGAAATTGATAGAGAAAATTAAAATCTTATATCAAAGCTTACCAACATAATGCAATATTAATCAAGTATTATTGTAGTATTATTATTTAGATAACTCCATTTCTACTTTACCACTTAAGAAATCTACTACTGTAAGTCTTGGTCCAAAGAAGTCACTTAATAAAGAATATAGAAAAAAAGAATTAATTAAGATAATCGTGGAAAATCAATAATTATTAAAAAGAATTTAAGATTAGAAATCTTAATACAATGTTAAAGATTGGAATGAAGAGAGAAGATGGGTTGAAAAATAAATATCTAATATTTGTGAATATCCTTATAAGGATTTTAAACCCACCAAAACCTTAGTACAATATTGGACTAATTCAAGAATCAGCGAGTCTTAATTATAAAGTAATAATTTATAAGTTATATTATTAGAAAGAGATAATTTTAACAATAAAAAATTAGATCCTTTAGAAATCAAAACTCAATAAACTAAGTAATCAAGTATATTAATCTATACAGATCAAGAGCTAGACAAGACAATAATACAGATTCAAGATAAATCTTAATTAATTAAGAGAATTAATAAAGGTATTTTTAATCATCATATCTAGAAGTCTCTTTGAATCAGATTTTTAACCTTATGAGCCCTATCAAGATAAAGTTACCAAAATAGTTAACGAAATTATTGAAAAACCTAAATTACAAGAATAAGAATAAAAAAAAGAACATTTATAAATAAATGAAGAAGAAAATAACTAGATTTCATAACAATAATTAGATCAATAAAATGTTCCATTAAGTGGCCAATAAAGTAAAGAATAAGAAGTTGTTGAGGAACATAATCAATAAGAATAAGAATAGGAATTATAACAGCAAAATGAGATTAATAATTTTATGGAAACTTCAAAAGAAAATGAAGAATTATAAGATGAGGGTTCCAATAAATCTCCCTAAAATCATTAAAATATTTAAACCATTGATTTTGAATAACAAAATCAAGAAATTTTAGACAAATAAAATTCTGAACAATTTTAAGAATGAATATTTTTATACTTATTGTAAAATTATTAATTTTATTTAATAACCTTGTAGTTATTGTAATTTAATTATATAATAGATTATCCAATATATATGAATTAGCATATATGTTAGATATATTCATTATTTCTTGAATTGCAGCTTACATACATTACCACTAATATTACACTTATTCAATAATGGTATTTTATATATATTGTATAGTTTTAAAAACTTATCTAATTAGAAATCCATGTTTTTTTTGCGTGTTAAAAGTATTACAGATGATATTCTTTCATCTTTTTTTCTAATTAATTATTAATTTGCATTATTCTTAATTTAATTAGTAAAAAACTTCGCTTTTATTACTTATTAACTCTTATTAATTTTTAGATTTTATGTATTAAAGTGCTATTTAATTATTTATTCTACAGAAGTTTATTTTGGCTATTAAAATTCTTCTGTTTAATCATAATATTTAAGTGGTTCAGTCAACATATGTTTATGATTTTACTTTTTAATAACAAATTATTTTTTTTCTTTTAATTGACTTTCTTTAATATCTTCCTTCTTTTTTTAAATAAACCATGGTCCTAATGGAGTTTCAGGTAACATTTCATCCAATTCAATATTTAGAAAATGATCATAAGATGTTTACAATGCAATATTTGTATGAGTCATAATTTTAATATATAAAAAAAATAAATTTTGCTCTTTAATTACTATTTATAAATAATAATTGTTATCCATCATTAAGATGATGCATTAAGTTCTAACATTTTTTAATTAAGTGTATCAATCATAATTCTACTTCTATTTGTTTTTGACATATGACCAGGTATACTTTATTCATTTTTATAAGTTCTTCCTAATATTTTCTTAAAATCAATCATTATATTTTTTGTATTTGGATGAACTATTGAATTTTTATTTGAAAATTGATCATATTTATAAATTGTCTATTCTCTTAAGCATACTGATTTATTCATTAAAGATTTTCTAACTGTTTATTTCTCAAAACTAGTTCCAACAAAACTTATCTTTCTTTTCCCAACTTCATAATCAGCATCATAAAAAGATTAAAAACAATTGTATTTGTTAATATTTAATGAATGTCCAGACCCTTTAAAATGAGCACTTCTAGGTCTTCTAAATTTATTATAAAATTAATATTATACGCTCTAATCGAATTAGTATCAATAGATAAAAACTAATTTTATGTAGCATTCTAAGAAGCATTTTATTATCTATTCGATTATTCTCTAGATAATTATCTCTTTAGATCTACAAATCCTTTTGTTTTTCTTGATTAATTATTGCTTAAGTCAATTGAAGTTTAAGAATCATTGCCTTATTTTATCATAGATTTATGTTCGATTGCAAATTTACCACCTAAATCAGACTTTCTTAATAGTTATATATGTTACTTTTAAATCACAGAATATTTTGGATTGTAAACTCCAATAGATAAGTTAGGTTTTCCTTAATTCTATAATTTATGTAAATATTCTCTTGATAAACCTAGACTAAATGGTTATTATTTATTTGATTATTTAGGAGATTTATTAGGTGTAATTGTATGAACATCGCTTACTTTTTATATAAATTAGGCTTTATTAGCCTTTCCTAACAGATGAGCAAATATTTAAGAGCTTGATTTTCCAGCTTTTGAATACATATGTTAGAAGAAATTTTCTGTATTTTAACTCATTTCAGATAATAATTGATTTAAAAAATATATTTGCTATATAATATATTTGAATTCTTTATAAATTTCATTTCAAAAACATAATTAAATAGAACAAAATAGGTTATGATAGTTATTAAAATATAGAAGTAATTGTTTAAATTGAATTTTATTAATTTTAAAAATTAATTGTTATGAATTTATAAAATTCAAGTTCTATTGAGATAAATTCCTCTGAAGATAAGAAAGATGATATTAATGAAGTGATTTTAATGATGAACAATCAATTTCTTTAAGTTAGAAGACCTAATGAAGATAACATTTTAGATTATCTAAATTATGATCAACAAAACAATAAACAAAAATTGACATCTAAAGATAATACTTTTAATTTTGAATCACCTTAATAAGTTTTCCTTTTATAAAGAAATGAAAATTAGTCTTATTTTGAATAACCAAATTTACCATAAAAAACATTTAATTCAATTCTAATAAAATTAATGAATAAGGAGAATGTTAATGACAATTTAAATAAATTTTAATTGAAATATTAGATGATTTTAAATGATTTATGTTTTTATTACTCGCACTTTGATTAATAACTGATGTATTAGAAACTAAAAAATATAATCCAAAAATTATTATACATCAACGATATCTTTTATTTTATAATCGGATTCTTATTTATTTTTGAATGTTCAATTACTATTGCATTTGGAACCAAATAGATCTTTAACATTTCCTTTTATATCATCTAATATTATCTAATGATTTTAGAATCAATATTATTAATTAAAGAACAAACCAAAATGAATAACATTTATGAATTTACTCTTCATATTTCATAATTTGTATTAATAATTGTCAATAATTTGATAGAATTTCAGTATCTGTGTATTGGACTTTTTGGGCATATGTATTTTTCAATTAAAAAATACAACATAATTAAATAGAAATATTGTTTATACATAAAAAATATCTCAACTTTTGAGATTATTACTTTTTAAATGCTTTTTATCCATATTTCTGCATTGATCTTTTTTATGGTTTCAAATATCTAAGCAGATTCATGGATTTAAGATCTTAGTGAAAGTGAAGACTGGATCAAAAGTTATTTATACTCTTTATATTGGTCAATTACTACAATAACAACATTAGGATAGAATCTAATTTAATTGAGAACTTAATAATTAATTTTCGTTACTGTTTTAATTTAGATAGCTAATATAATTTTTATAATCCTTCTTGTAATTAATAAAAAACAATTATTTTTTAAACTTGATTAATTTTCTGAAAATATAGAAATGATTAACAATTATTTAAATAAAAAGTAAATTAGTAAGAAATTACAATATGAAATTAAGACAATTTTATATAATAAATGGTAGGAAAAGTATCTAAGTAATCATGAATAAGAATTATCAATATTATAATAATTACCTCAATATTTAAATGAAGATTTAAAGCTAGAAATGTTTTCAAAGATTTTTAAATAAATTCCATTCTTTTCATAAATCTCTTAAGAATGTTATAGAGAAATAATCTTATAATTGAAAGAATTCACATATTTACCTAATGAAATTCTTGATTAAACAGGATTATATTATTGTTCAAAAGGAAGTTTTGAGTTATTTTTACCAAATAGAGTAAAGATTGAATTGAATCATAAAAATAATTCTTTTTATGGTTTAAACTATCTATTCTATGATAAATAGGAAGTTTGTTAAGCTATATCTATAAATAAGGGATAATATATTTATTTGAGTAGGTATTCATTTTTGAAAGTATTGAGGAAATATCCAGATGATTATGTAAGAGTGAGATTTTATTATTAATTAGTAAATGTATAGAATGTAAATGGAGATGAATTAAATAGATTTAGGAATTAAATGCCATTTATGTTATAATTCGAGACATAGTTTAGATTAGTGTCCAAAAATTCACTTGTTTATAAATAAATTAAGTTTGATATCAAGTCATTTGAAATCAGAAGATATGAGAAGATCAAAATACAAAAGAAAAAGAGAGAGAAGTGCTAATGCAGTATTTTCTTAAAGATTGTTTGAGGATGCTGCATCAATGTTTTAAGAAAATTTAATATAAGATGAAAAAATTAAGGAATTCTCAATAATTCCATAATAAATTTAATAAAGAAATCAAAAAATAAAATCGAAATCTTTGAATTCAGATGAAAATTCTAAAGCTTTGTATAATTCAAATTCTGGTCGCAGTTTGAGTGCAATACCAAAGCCATAAAGTTCAGGGTTGTCTTTTAGTACATATTCGATGTTGAAAGAAGTTTAAGGATAGAGAAAGATTTCAAAATAATAAGATAGCGACAAGATTTCTAGTAATTCTTAAAATAAATAGCATCAATCAAGTTCGAATAGTTTTAAAGATTTACATATAACTATGAATATGGAAGATAAGATTGTTGATGATTCAATTTTTGCAGTCTAATCAAGAATAAAGAAATAATAAATAGGAAAACAAGGAACAGCATCAATAAAGATAACTCCATCCAATACTCCATTACAGGCTATTCCTTCAGTAAGTGATATCAACTCACTTAATGAAGACAGTTTTGTTAATTAATATTCTATGAGTAGCAAAAGATACTCTTCTCTTTAAAAAAAGGTTTCTTCAAAGGCTACTGTAGAAACATAGAAATAATGTGAATAAATGGAGATAAAAAATATGGAATTCGAGTGCCCAATTAATTTTAAGCACTATTTTCCCTAGCACAATATTTAAGAAGTAATAGAAAAATTCAAACATTTTCAAAATAGAGATTTTTAATGATTAAACTATATATAATTATGATATGAAGATCAAATTATTCGTTTCTTTAGTTTAAATAAGTTGAAAAAAGGAAATATCAATTAATTTAATATTATGTAAATTTAATAACACTATTCTTAGTTGATAGATGAGTTAAAAATGAACGATTCAAAGAGTTTATTCTAAAAATTAGAAGGAACATTAACGTAAAAATTATGTGCCAAAGAATTATTGAAAGAATAAGTCACAATCTATGTCTAAAAAGCTAAGTAATTTGTATAAAGAGAGATTGTTATATCTTACAACTCCCTTATTATAGAAAATTAATTTGTTGAGTTGAGTAAATGCCAATTTGAAGTGAGAGTTAACAAACCTAAAAATAATGAAGGAATCAATATCATTATTATTAAGAATACTGCTGGTAAAGAATTTTTAATCACTTCAAATTCTCAATAGTGTCTTAGAATAAAGATCTACATGAAAAAATTTTGTATAAACAAAAATTATAGTGGAAAATATCGATTGATAGAACAGAAAAACTGTCTCCCTCTTTCCTAATCATACAAAGTATAAATATATACATAAAATTAGAAAAATAATCAATATTTCTCTACAATAAAATTTGAAAAGAAATAATTGGAAGAAAATTAAGAACTTTAAATGTTCCACAATTAAATAACATTGATGCATGCTTTTTAATCAATGCCGAATGTCATTAGGGTTTGTGAAGATGCTTAAAGTTATTATATTCTTGGAGAAAACATGAAGTTGTAATCATTAGAATCATTGTTATTGAGTGGATTTGAATTTAAAGAAGTACCATTTGTATCTATTATCTTCATGATTCTGTAAACCATACAAAAGTATCAGGCTAAAACTATATATCATGGGAACATTAATCTTTAGAATATCTATGTAAATGTTAATAGTTAAACTCTTTAAATCACTGCACTTAATCCGAAATATAAGGAGAATAGTGTTTAAAATATAGAGAAAGATATTTAAAGTGTAGGAAAACTACTCTACTAAATTACATTTTACAATTAAAAAGCTGAAGTTCCCTAAGAAATAAATTTAAAACTAATTTAATCTTTAATGGAGCAATGGTCAGAACCATATTCGAAAAGAACTCAATATAGATTTCTATATAGAGTGAGTTAACTTAATTTATTAAATCAATTACTTTCTCCTGGGATGACAGTAGAGAAAGCATTGATTCATTAATGGTTTGTAAACATTAGATAGAATCTTAAAATAGAATCTAAATAATTAATGTCTAAAGCACTACTTACAACGATTATGGAAGAATAGGAATTTCATCTGACATCTTCCTAAATTCTTGATAAACATGTTACAATTACTCAATAAAGCGTTTAAGAGAATGGTATTTGATAGTTTTATTATTATAAATAGAACCAGAGGAAGAACTTTATCCAATTCGATGTTAATTGATTAATACAATTGTAATGATACCATCAAAAAAAAAGCATGATGATGCTAAAATATATTTGTATAGATCGAAAACATTTACAAGTTCAATGATGAAAAGAGACTCGTTAGTTGAAATGACAAAATAATCGACAGTAAAATGATTAAATGTAAATTGAGAATAATATGATTAAATCAAGATTGTAAATTACAAAAATATCAATATTTAAATATAAATGAGTATATAATAGTAAATATATTTATATATATATAAAGTAGTATATAATAAATAACTAACTGGATTTGTGATATTTAAGAATAATGAATCTGTATTTTATTAAATTAAAGATATTTTATATTTTTAATGGGTGGAGATAAACACGATATGAGTTATTATTTTAAATGCATGATTGGAGGTACCTTAGCATGCGGTCTTACACATACAGCAATTGTCCCCTTAGATGTTGTCAAGTGTAGAAGATAAGTAAATTAAGATGATAATATATTTAATAGGTTTTCCCTACCTTATATAAATCATTGGGTGATGGATTAAGTACAATATCAAAAACAGAAGGATTCGGAGGATTAACATTGGCTTGGGGACCAACTTTGATTGGATATTCACTTTAAGGATTAGGAAAATTTGGATTCTATGAAATCTTCAAAGATGTTTATAAATCGATTGTTGGAGAGGAAAATGCCAATAAATATAGAAGAATTGGTTGGTCTATAGCTTCAGGAAGTGCTGAAATTATTGCTGATACACTCTTATGCCCAATGGAAGCAATAAAAGTCAGGATGTAAACATCAAAACCAGGTTCATTTACAACAAGTGGAACATAAGCATTTAATTAAGTTAAAGCTAATGAAGGTAATAATAATAATTACTATATATATTAGGAATAAATGGACTCTACAAAGGTTTGGGACCACTTTGGGCAAGATAAGTACCATATACAATTGTGAAGTTTGTTGCTTTTGAATAAATTGTTTCATTATTCTATGAGAATGTATTTACTAAACCAAAAGATTCATACTCTAAATTTACATAATTATCAGTAACATTTGCATCAGGATATTTGGCTGGTATATTCTGTGCTATTGTATCACATCCTGCTGATACAATTGTATCTAAATTAAATTCAATCTAAACAGGAGGTAAATTATACTATTTATTATAATAGGATCATTGGGTGAAAATGTAGGTAAAATTTATAAGGAAATTGGATTCTCAGGATTATGGAGAGGATTAGTAACAAGAATTATTATGATTGGTACACTCACTGGTCTCTAATGGTGGATTTATGACAGTTTTAAAACAGCTGTTGGATTATAAACCACTGGAGGTGGAAGTAGCACACCAAAACCCTAAGAAACAAAACATTGATATATGTCCAATTTTATATCAATTCAAGCATTTATATAATCATAAAATAATAATACTATTTAACAATAACTGATTCTCTTCATAAAGAGCATCGTTTTATTGTTCAATTTTTTTAAACTTTAGATGGCCTTAACTTTTCTTCTCTTCAAACTTTGAATTTACTTTACTTAATTTTAGTAAATTTTAAAATTCTTTCTTTTTATCTTTATCGATATAATTTAAACTCTTTGAAAAGTAGATTTCACTTATTAAGTTCACTAATTAAACAACCTAATACTATTTCTAATTGTATATTCTGTTATTTTTTTTGTCTTTGATAATTCAAGCATAGCTAAAATCCCCTTTTTTTTTCAGAATATAAACTTATTTTAGTTTAAACTTTATGGTCAAAATTATCTCACTTTTTCAGAAAATTGATGTCCAAATAAATTTGATTTTGCTAAATATTTGTCCTTTTTTATATTCATGAATTGAATTATTGTAGTGACCATACTATAATAGAAATATGTTTATTAAATTAATATTAACTATGTATAACTATTAAAATAATCACATTCCTTTTCATATATACTTAACTTCAATGTTCCAGTTATTTTGAAAAATTTATTTGTGAATTCAATTTTTTAAGCGCAAAAATTAATTAGATTTATCTATTGAATAATATAGAGAAATTATTTAGTTTTTAAGTATTCATTAAAAATCTTAAATTATTATTAAACTTTTTTTGTATTAAATTTAATAATATTTATGTCAGCTTAATACATTGTAGCAATAAAATTTGATAAAGCAAACAACACTTATAGGCTAAATGTAATTATTGATATTTTAATTAGGATTTTATATCTGGGCAAGTTACAATTAATTTCACAGACCCTAATTAGAAAAGGTTAGAAATTTAATCATTGAAATGGAGATCAGAAGGNTTTACATAATTATCAGTAACATTTGCATCAGGATATTTGGCTGGTATATTCTGTGCTATTGTATCACATCCTGCTGATACAATTGTATCTAAATTAAATTCAATCTAAACAGGAGGTAAATTATACTATTTATTATAATAGGATCATTGGGTGAAAATGTAGGTAAAATTTATAAGGAAATTGGATTCTCAGGATTATGGAGAGGATTAGTAACAAGAATTATTATGATTGGTACACTCACTGGTCTCTAATGGTGGATTTATGACAGTTTTAAAACAGCTGTTGGATTATAAACCACTGGAGGTGGAAGTAGCACACCAAAACCCTAAGAAACAAAACATTGATATATGTCCAATTTTATATCAATTCAAGCATTTATATAATCATAAAATAATAATACTATTTAACAATAACTGATTCTCTTCATAAAGAGCATCGTTTTATTGTTCAATTTTTTTAAACTTTAGATGGCCTTAACTTTTCTTCTCTTCAAACTTTGAATTTACTTTACTTAATTTTAGTAAATTTTAAAATTCTTTCTTTTTATCTTTATCGATATAATTTAAACTCTTTGAAAAGTAGATTTCACTTATTAAGTTCACTAATTAAACAACCTAATACTATTTCTAATTGTATATTCTGTTATTTTTTTTGTCTTTGATAATTCAAGCATAGCTAAAATCCCCTTTTTTTTTCAGAATATAAACTTATTTTAGTTTAAACTTTATGGTCAAAATTATCTCACTTTTTCAGAAAATTGATGTCCAAATAAATTTGATTTTGCTAAATATTTGTCCTTTTTTATATTCATGAATTGAATTATTGTAGTGACCATACTATAATAGAAATATGTTTATTAAATTAATATTAACTATGTATAACTATTAAAATAATCACATTCCTTTTCATATATACTTAACTTCAATGTTCCAGTTATTTTGAAAAATTTATTTGTGAATTCAATTTTTTAAGCGCAAAAATTAATTAGATTTATCTATTGAATAATATAGAGAAATTATTTAGTTTTTAAGTATTCATTAAAAATCTTAAATTATTATTAAACTTTTTTTGTATTAAATTTAATAATATTTATGTCAGCTTAATACATTGTAGCAATAAAATTTGATAAAGCAAACAACACTTATAGGCTAAATGTAATTATTGATATTTTAATTAGGATTTTATATCTGGGCAAGTTACAATTAATTTCACAGACCCTAATTAGAAAAGGTTAGAAATTTAATCATTGAAATGGAGATCAGAAGGAGCGATATCATATTAGAATAAAGAGTCTCACAAGGAATTGTAAAAGATTATGCAAAATTAAGGGCCATAATTACTTCATTTAAATTAGGGGGAATTCACTTAAGAAAAATACATGTTTGATTATAATTTAAATTAGTTTACAAGAGAAAAATACTTTTTAATTCAAATATTAATTGACACCTTATGCAGATAGTAGAATATTAGAAACTTATGTTGGTGTTTATATAGCAATTGCTTATGAAATTTAAGTTGATTTAACATTGAGCAATGGTACATTAATTTAAAATAAAACTCCATTCTATGTATAATGTGTTGGGATTGATAGAATGGGTTAATAAATTAATTTTAGAGAGCTTTAATAGAAAGCAGATTAATTTTTAATTACTCCTGATAGATTAATGGGCAGCTAAAATATATAGAATAAATAGGGTGCAAAATTCAAGATTCATGGAATAATTGATTCTAAAATTTGCTAATTTTAGGAGGGATTCAACGGAAATATTAATGTGGAAGAATGTGAATCAGAAATTAGAACAATAGACTTGTAGATGATAAGAGTAGAGAAATTAGAAAATAAATAAGGAAAAGTATTAGAAGCAACTGAAATACAATTAATATAAATAGTTGATGGAAATATTACAAGAGGAATCTAAGTACCTTTTAATATGATCTTTCCAAAATTCTTTTCATGCTCTAACTTATAATTCAAAGATTATAGTGGTAAATTAATAAAGAATAATTTATAGTTGATTTCGAAGTGAACTTAGTTGTAATTATGTATGATGGGTTCAAAATAACTCTCAATTTTCCAATACAAATAATAAGGAAGTGATTATTATAAATAAAAATGAAATTTGATATATATTATAATTATTTTGAGAATTTCCAAAATCTAATAAATATATGATCAATTTTTGTTATTTTATAAACGTGGAGACTATTCAAGAAGCAAAAACAGAGTGATGAATTATTTTATTTCAAATATTAAATTTAGAAAAGCTTTATTCATTTATAGAAATTAGAATATTAAGAATTTTAATAAAATGATGAAAAGTGTATTACAAACTCACTCATCACGATAAATAGTTGGTTAACTTCTTGATAATTGTTTTGAAGTTCTGAAAGCATTTTTAGAATAAGCTATTAAACATGATGAGGTTTCACCAGAAAATATCATTTAAATAAACAAAGATTTGATGGGAGCAATAAATTTCTATATTGGGAATTACGATTTCATTTAGGGTATTTATACATTCTATAATGGTATAAAGAATAAACACATAGTAATTCTAAATTTTTGAGAAATCTTTTATTTGAAATAAAACACTACAGAAATAATTGGGCTCATTCTTAAGATTTTACTTTGAGAGAAGTTCATAGGTTATTAAAAAAAAAGATTATATAGAATTGCTGATACAATTTTGATGATGTTTGATGAATTAAGTTTGAATATAAATAATGAAGTGTATCTATTTGTTAATTAAATAAGGATGGAGTCTATATAAGTAATGAGTTTATAATTACAATAATCATAAAAATATTGAGATTATATTATATATATGTAGAATAATCAAAGTCAAGCTCCGATTCCCGGATCTGTTGAAATTATCAAAGGTATCATCTTTGATATATTTTTAGACAAGCTTTATTGGATTTCTGATAGATAAGCTCCTAGAAATTAGCCAAATGCATTCTATTTTTGTATTGATCAAGTATTAGATTATGATTAATTTCTTTTTAGGATCTTGTATATGAGCCTTTCTTTGCAGATTTTGGTCCATTGAATTTAGGTCATACATACAGATTTGTAACAGAATTGGAGAAATTGCTTAGTGATAAGACATATTAACAATATGCTATCTATCATTATACTAGTTTAGATAGTGCTAAAAGAGCTAATGCTGCCTATTTAATGGGAGCTTTTTAGGTGATAATCTTAAAAATAAGTGCAGATGATGCATGGAAACCATTTTAATCTGTTAGACCTGCATTTTAAGATTTTAGAGATGCTAGTTATGGATAATGCACTTATAAATGCACAGTAATTTATATTGATAATTTATTTAGATTTTACATTGTTTGAGAGGTTTAGAATATGCAATCAAATTAAAATGGTTTGATGTTAGAAAATTTAATCTAAGAGATTATGAATTTTATGAAAGAGTAGAAAATGGAGATTTAAATTGGATTGTTCCAAATAAATTTATTGCCTTCTCAGGACCTTCTGCTACTTAAAAAGATGCTGATGGAGTATATCCTATATATTTATTTAGAATCGCACATTCACTCCAGAAGAATATGTACCTATCTTCAAGTAATTTGGAGTAACTTGTGTTGTTAGATTAAATAAAAAGGCTTATGAAGAGTAAAGATTTATAAAAAATGGCATCAAACATGAAGAAATTTATTTCTTAGATGGATCAGTTCCAGGAGATGAAAAGATTTTAAGATTCTTGGAAATTGCTGAAAAAGAAAATGTTGTAGCTGTTCATTGTAAAGCAGGTTTAGGTAGAACAGGAACCTTAATTGCTGCATATGTTATTAAACATTATAGGTAATAATCTAAATTTAATCTTAAATAGATTCCCTGCTCCTGATTTTATAGGATGGATTAGAATTTGTAGACCTGGAAGTATTTTGGGACCATAATAAATATTTTTATTAGTAATTTCTTTATTTCTATTTTTATAGCAAAAATAAAATTGGTTGGTTAGTTTAGGAAAAGATTCTCCTATATGGAATTAAGTCAAATAAATTGCAGCTGAAGTTAACATTGAAAAGAGATTGAAAGATTTACAATTAGGATCAATGAGTGAGGGTATTATCTCTTGTTTTATTTTTAGCTGATAAAAATAAAGCAGAAAAAGGTGATTAAGATTAGGCTTAAACATTAAATAAAGCAAAATTAATGAAGTATATTATTCCCATCTAAATTCTTTAGTTAAACTACAAATTCACCTGGCTTGAAAAAATGAAACATTAATTTTATTTTATTAAATAAATTTACCCAATCCCAAATTTAACTTATCAATTATATATTCATTAAAATTCAAAAGTTTATTATTTATTGATATTAATTGCTTTTTGATATTAAATTAATAATAAATCTTTACATCTTCTATTTTACACTATAAGTTACTGATTTATCTAATTCAACTGATGGCTATGATTATTAACTATGTAATTTGTTAAACTAACTAGATTA